TAGTAGAAAGCTTTAGGTTAAAGAAATATTACAATGACAAATTTGCAATAGTTTGAAAGGGGATGATTATGATGATGATGATGATGATGATGATGAAATAGGTGAAGCTTTTACGATGGTGAGGTAAGGTGAGGTGAAATGGGGTCCATGATTATTGAAATTATATAGCGACGTGCATGCACGTGTGTGTGTGTGTGTGTGTCCTAGTCCGAACTGATGCCGATTTACAGTGCTAGCTTACATGAACACCCCACTCAGACACAGTATACTGACTCCGAGCCGACCAGTCCTTGTTTTAGCCCCTTAATGCCAAGTGCCAGACAGAGTAACTACAAGTACCATCTTTTAACCTCCGTTGGTAATACGCGGCCAGGAATCGAACCCCGGACCCTCCGCTCTGCGGGCGGACGCTCTACCACTAGACCATGGAGGCGGTCCTGAACACGGTGACACCACCATGCCTGTATATTGAGCCCATGTGAGAGATGAAATGTATCTTCTGAAGGTTGATCTGACAGTCACAGCTGTAAACGTTCTCTGCACATACGTCGAGGTCTTTGTAGACACATCGACGTCACAATGGCGCAAAAATATCAATTAAGATGCACATACAGTAAACTGCGGTTATAACGATGTAAAATGGATCCCTAATTTTAGTTTGTTATAACCAAGTTCGTTATAAGCATATATACATACAACCTATACACAGCAAATGAGCAGGCCCCAAAACAGTTCGTTATATCCGTCAGTGTAAAAAGAATGCTTTTTATTACACCTGGTCAGTTCTTAAAATCAAAACGTACAAAAGTAAACTAACAGTACAAGTTATCTTCTATTTCACATATCCTTTTCAAAACGATATTCGATGGCGCCACAATACACTTGGTCGAAATATCACCAACAACAAGTGAACAAATAACAGATGAGACCAGATTCTATTCCTAGCAGACCTTTTTTATATTTACAATGCCAGTGCTGTCTCTATGGTGACTTTACCATGAGATGCGAGGGTTCAAGACTCGGGGAGCGTGTTGTTAACAATCATGATTCTGAGTGGAAAAGTATGCAGTGTGTGAAAGGTATATAAATGATGAGGACAAGTGATCGACTTAAAGCAAATCGAAAACCTTAAATAAGTCCGCATCAGTCAGTGCGTCTACTTTGAAACGACGCCACATCAAACACGTGTGTGTTAATAACACAATTAGAATATGTCCATAAATACATTCAGTGGCACAAGAGGTTGGAGTGGCGATATCATAGACTCATTTATCACGCGATCTTTGGTGTGAGTACTCTCGCCGCGGTCCCAGCATCACGATGACCCCGACACATCGACGACCCCAGCACAACTACGACTTCAGTAAAACGACATCCCAGACGTGCGTGGGAATCGGATAGGTCTCAAAGGACAAAAGATGAATTTAAAAGATTAATTCTTCTTACGACCTGCGTCACATGCACGCTCAGTCCTGGCATCTTTACAACAGAATGGTCACGTGGTCATGGAAAGAAAAATAGGTTTTGAACTTCTACTAGAATTGACCACACATTTCTTCTTGGTCGAATAGTCTGATACATGAGGAAGGGGTGATATAATAAGGCAAATGTGTAATTTTGATAATTGCATCCCAAATGTTCCTACTCTCGGAATAATTGGAGTATGATATTGGTGATGTGCTGGATGAGTCGATTATTGGTTTGAACGCAAAGATTTCACTGTCTAGGGTCAGTTTCGAGAAGACGTCTTGGGACGGGGTGGCTAAACCGACGAAGGATGTTAATAGATCCAAAGCTCAGAGTCTGAACCATGTTGAATACATTTTAAAGACAGTCTTCTTTTTTCGTGACACTGGGAACGTTCATTTATTTTAGTTATACAAAAATCCACAAGGGAAAGCTGTAACACTCTATGTGAGAATGAAAGTAACTCTTTAATTTGAACACTTAAAAAATGCATTTAATTATGTCATCCTATATACCCTTCTTTTAAAACATCTGTTATATATGTTCCTGTGATGCATGACAATTGATATCTCAACCACGATAGTTCTGAAAATAATCCGTTAACCATGAATTGTAAAAAATGGCCTTAAGACAGATAAAAACGATTCCCTCGACACGTCGTTCTATCGTTACACATTTAACATGCCACTGTGTCTTTAAAGTGATAAGTTACTTGTTGTTGTGGTCGACTTTAATTTCAAAATGGTCAATCTTAATCGACTTAGAAGAAATATGCATTTTGGATCAAGAGAACTGTGTTAATTGAAGGCTTGATACTGGAAACAGTTAAGGAATACTTATCGTGATCAAAACGCTCCTCCCATACATGATAGAGTCATCAGTGGCCCTGCTCTCATATCGGGGCTGTCAAAACCATGCTATCCCCAGCACAATCGATACCACTTGCCTTAAGTCTTATGAAGTTTGACAACTCGTGGCTGTGCAAGTGCCAGCCATCCATTCCTTATCTGCGTGCGCATCTTTACCGGTGTTAAACGTTTTGCCACTTTGCGCCCTGCAACTGCCAACCTAGTTAACACCGCGAGATAATTATTGCCTGGAACCTTTCTTCCCTTAGCGAAAAAACATGATTAGTGCCAATGTGTTCATTGTGGACGACACCTTCCTACGTTAGAATCACTAATTGGGCGTACGTTTCTCGCGCTGACAGGGTAGTAGAGAGATCAGTGAGTGATTGAGTCGGATGACAGGTTCAGTAGCTCACCCTCACTTGTTGGGCTGCTTCGTGTAATGTTCTCAGATACTGAACTGATAAGACTCTTCAGTGGTGACATAATCATCTCTATCTCAGGCGGGAATGTGTTGGTGGGATTTTCCTCTTAAAATTGATGCTGATGATGCGTAGGTTGGTGTTTACGTACCTACTAGCAATCCTCGAGCAATATCACGAAGGGGGACACCAGAAATGGGCTTCACACATTCCCCTGGCCTTTTGAGTGACGGGAGGCGCTATTAGGCTGCCCAACCGCCCAGGCCCCGAGGTTATAAAAAACATTTCGTGCTCAACTCAGTTTCGTGCTCATGCTCAAGTTCGTACTCAGTTGAGATTTGTACTCAAGCAGAGGTTATAAAACATCTTGAGTCTGTACTCAGCTGAGAACAACTCACGCTCGGCTTGAGCATGCTCAAAGGACTCTTTGTTTATGACACAAGCGGCAAATTGGAACTCTTCAGTCGAGAATGGTAAGAAAACAACCCGGATGTTGTCGTCTGCTTATTTACAGTGGCAACGGTGGGCGTGACCAAGTAGAGAAGGCGGGGTATAGGGTGGTCAGAGGCGGAGGAGGTATGTCTCATCCAGGATGACCATGTGATACAGGTACCCATTCTTGCCCTGACCATGTGATGCAGGTATCCATACTTGCCCTGGCCATGTTATACAGGTATCCATACTTGCCCTGACTATGTCACACTGGTACCCATACTTGCCCTGGCCATGTTATACAGGTATCCATACTTGCCCTGACCATGTGATGCAGGTATCCATACGTGCCCTGGCCATGTAATGCAGGTATCCATACTTGCCCTGACCATGTAATACAGGTATCCATACTTGCCCTGACCATGTAATTCAGGTACCCATATACCTTCACGTACATATATGTATACTGGGAGTAAATATATGTATACAGCCTGAGAACTGAATTTAATACACCTTTGTGCATATATGGAGCAGAACCCTGTTATATTGAACTAGATATTCAATAAGGTTCTGTGAGGTTGATTGGGGTTCATTGAGGTTTTGTGAGGTGCAGTGAGGTTCAATGATGTTCAACGAGATTTTGTGAGGTTCAGTGAGGCTCGACGAAGTTTTGTGAGTTTCAGCGAGGTTCGGCGAGGTTCAGGGAGACTCGGTGAGGTTCAGTGAGGTTCAGTGGGGTATTACATTGCAGACAAAATGGTCAATTACCAGTGTTAGAGAGGCGTCGAACCAAACTCACTCACTCATGGTCACGTCCGATAAAATGTAAATTAGTTGTCCAGCCGAAGTAGGGTTCTCTGTAAACAGGGTCAATCTCGCCGTGCTTTGCTCAGCTCAATGTGGTCCAATATAATGGTTTAATGGCATTTCCGCTGACACTGACATCTTTATTGGATGGTCTAAATGACAGCCATATTTTCAAATGAGTTTCACTTATTAATCGGAATTTTCCTTATATTCACCCAGTGATTCCGACCTTTTCACCACAACCGTATCCTGTGTCATTTAATCAACACACACAGGACACAGGTGCAGCAGAGTAGAGAGAGTATTTTTAAGTAAAGAGCTGTTATGTGATACTGATTGCTGTGATTTACTAACACGGGGGGAGCCAACAGATAATTGGCGTTGTCCATTGCTAATCACCTATCAGCGCCTAATATCTGTTGGCTCCCCCTTGTTAAGTTTCCACCTTTGTTGTCTTATTACTTTTGTTGTTCTTACATGTACACATACATGTTCCCTGTCTCACAGTATTTATTCACCTGATGAAGGAGTAAGCATATACTCAGAAACGTTTTGTTCCGCATAATAAAGAAGTTGACATCCATTAATTCTCTTCCTTGAGTGTATCACTTCTAAATGCCGTTCAAAGACTGTACGACCAGAACATTTTGCATGAACTGGTTTTAAAATATGAACTCCGTTTTAGATTGACTTTCTTATTTGCCATCAATAACCAAGCGATTGTTAAAAATATGTTGTTCAAAGATGATAAAAATTATCATTTCATCAAGGCGGGAAAGCAGAAAATTTGTTTTTGCGCTATTTGAGGAGAAATAATTTGTGCTTGGTCGTAAAATCATTACAATAACAAGAGTTATTATCAACCTGTTCTTGCATTATCATGTGGGATGCTAAGAGCTTTCACGCAGTCGAGGACAGCTGATATGGATTCTAGCCTGTCGTAACCTCCCTCAAGGCGGGAAGTGGGATGTGTGCAAGATTGACGCGCATCTCACAGCAGTAATGATTGTCTCTTCCTTTGCAGATTGATGGCGGTCGGGGCCCATTACAGGAATACCCTTCAATCCTAGAAGTCACTTCCAGCACAGCGTGTGAAGAAGCATCTCGCGGCTACAAGAAAAATCAACTGAAGCGGATTCTGAGTGTTTCTGTTGCGACATCAGTTAATTAGTGCCTACAGGCAGGCGTTCTGTGTCGACGTTTCCTGGAGTATTTGTGTTGTATTAATAGACCGTTTTGTGCAAAGGTTGGGCCACCATGGAGAAGAGAATGAGCGGATCTCATACTGCAGGAAATTGCCTGGTTGATATCCCAATAAATGTCTAGTATGTACGACACTAAACAGGCAGCTTGTTCGAAATACCGATGAACGCTACAACGGCTGCTGCGACGTTTGGTGTCATGGCGAAAAGTCAACTTCCGTTTGGATTTAGTGAATGGAAGAAGGGAGATAACTGTTGTGATTATTCAAACACAAACCTGACAAGAAATTCCTCGAGGAACCGGGACGAGTTGGAGCTACCCCCTTACGTGTACATCTACGTGACGACGTTAAACGTACTCATTTTTGTGGTGGGCATTCTGGGAAATGTGATGGTGATACAGGTGGTTGCCCGGATGAAGGCGATGCGCACGCAGATGAACTTTTTTCTCATGAGCCTCAGTGTGGCGGACCTGTTGGTTCTTGTGATATGCCAACCGTCAGCACTGTTGGAGTTCTATGGCAAAGACCGCTGGCTCTTTGGAGAGGCAATGTGTAAGTATAAAGAATTATTAAAGGTGGTCTACTTTCTGTCAGGGAGGCTGGGGCTGCCTGATCGACCCTTTGTAACACTCAATGAGTAAGAGAGCGAGTGGGTTTCATATTTTGTACCCATGTGGAAAATCGAACCATGTCTTTCGGCGTGACGAGCGAACGCTTTAACCACTCAGCCACCCTACATCCTGATGAATGTTTTAACGCCGCTTTGATTATTATCGGATTAAGCCTTTATCACGATGTCAGTGCAATATCGTAGAGCCCTAATAGCTCTATTAACACCGCATTGACACATAACAACATTTAATATGCCCTTGTATTAAGCCATATACATTAAAGCTGATTGAATATGCAACATTCATGAGCAAATTAAATGAATCTCACGGTCGCCCTGACACCACATCCGTGCCAGACGATGGGATGACATCGTTATATACTACACAAGTTTGGTCAGGGATACTGAGATAGTGATAACTGAGTTCATGATATGTACATAGACATACGTAAAAGGTGAGTGAGTGAGAGTGAAAGGTTTTACGCCGGTTATAGCAATAATCCAGCAATATCACGGCTGGGGAAATAGGCTTCACACATGGTACCCATCATCTTCCCGAGGCAAGAGAGTTAACTGACTTTAAAAGTCCAGTTTCCACCCTTGCTGAACTAGGCTGGAATTCCTGGGCTCGATCGTAGCGCCACCAGTGGCTATTACGAGTTATGTCCTTTCTATGCCTCTCCTATTGACCTATCAGATTCAACCTCTCGTATCACTTGCATTTGCTTCAAACAAAACGGTGGCGCCCAGTCAAGACAATCTGATCGATAATCAAGATCTATATTGTGATAAAACGAGTCTTACATCGCGAAGTGCATCAAATCACGTGAGCACCTTGATTAAAAACATGAAAATATCTGTTGACACCGAGTTAGCGGTGCACATGCTTTGCAAATCCTGCAGTCGACCGAAATCTACATGACACTTTACGAACCGGATTTCGATTTCGGTGCGCGATTTTGATTGGACTATGCATAGACTCGTTAGTCCAGCCAGAATGTAACTCCATAATACCAGCCTAGTTCGGCAAGGGTGGAAACTGGACTTTTATAGTCAGTTAACTCTCTTGCCTCGGGAAGATGGGTACCCATGTGGGGAATCGAACCTGGGTCTTTGACGTGACGAGCGAACGCTTTAACCACTTTGCTGCCCCACCGCCTCTCATATGTAAAACAAATGACCTGACGTAAACTCAAACCATTTCAAATTGAGATTTTTCTGGAGGTTGTTAAGCAAGTGAGAGGGTGGATGAGTTTGGTTTGAACAATATTTCAGTTATATCACGGTGTGTCAGCCTGAATTGGTTGAAAAGCCCGAAGTGACGCAGGTCGTAAAGGATTGGCCATAGTCACGAACCCACGATGAATGGATCCTGGCACAACTGAGGGACGCAACTCTGCATAGGGGCACCCAAGCCTATTAGCCCACCTAGTAATCTCCAAAGGGCATTGGTTAGGTAGCAACGGAACACAGACATATATGTTTGGACTTTGCGAGGACCTTGACCTTTAATCACGGTCATTAAAAGTAAACCGGTACAAGAAATTTACTTATCAATAAGTGAGCGTCCAATTTAGTTTCGGTCCATTATGGTGATGGTATCCAAGTCTCGGCGTGTTAGTGCCTAATGTCAAATGTAGGCAGCTGCCTCAGTTTATTAGGATGACCAGACACTGCCAAATTAAGGTTGCACTGAGGTCAGTTAGGCAGTGTCGTCTAATAGGTGGAGAGGTGCCCATATTTAACCCTGATATAGAATTCCACGGACATCTAATGGCGTTGCTGACCGCTCGCCACAACGCATAAACGTGAGAGTGATGTGTGTGTTTGTGCTACAGTATAATGATTGTGCCATTTCTACACTGAATAATGCCAAACAAGTTAGGGAGGCAGCCTGGAGTACCCTGTGGTATTAACGTAAACCCACAAGTCGTTATTAATTCATGACAATATACCGACTGTGAGTGACTACAGACGGATGACCTTGAATTTAATGTCATACGCCCTTGCAACCTGGCAGTGATCTATCACGTCAACTCACAGGGCAGACATCATCCATCGTGCCAAATGTCGAATAAATTGTCGGTTTTATTACTAATTATGTATGTATAGAACAGTATTATCAGTTTCATCGGATAAACCTCGCTTACATTCCTAAGAAGTCATAAATAAATGTGACATTAGTCTTAATGCATTGTAACGTCATAACTACACGTGAGAAATGCAAATAAAGCGACAAAACCCTTTCCATATTCAATAGAAATATCTGCATAAAGTAGAGTCGATAGTACGATTCCGACATATCAGGAGCAAGTGTTTATGAATCACTATAATAAAACCTTTTGAAAGCTTTACTGAGACCTTGAATGTTGTAACTTTGTTTAAACAACTTCTGAGCAAGAGTGGTATGGCGCTCTTTGAACTCTTTGTAGAAAGGGCATACTCGATTGTATGTCAAACGTTGTGAAATGTTAATACCAAAGGATGGAGCTGCTGGAATATTGCTTGACATGAAGGGAAAGTTAACTCTTGGAAAGTTGAAGTCATCCCTCTTGCCATACAGTCTTGTGGAGAGTGTTTTGTCACTCTGAATGTTTATGCTGAAAACAAAATACGAAACAAATGAGGCAATCTCACTGTTCTCCTTTATTTCTAGTTCAGGTTTGTAAATCAGTGGAAGGGAATTTTATTGTTATTGAACGACATTAGATATAACAGTCCTTCATTCTTAAAAGCATCTTAAACTTCCCGTTTCAGGTCGCCTTGTTCCATTCCTAGAAAACGCCTCTCTCCATTCGTCTGTTCTGACGTTACTGACAATCGGCTTTGAACGTTACTACACAATCTGTCACCCCCTGAAGGACCAGAACACGTGCCTTCTGACCAGCACTGGTGTGTTCGTCACGTGCATCTGGGTGCTCGCCTACATCCTGGCTCTACCCTTCGTCTTCCTCACAGTCCTGGAGGACGCCAAGTTCCAAGATGGCTCCCATGTGAAAGTGTGTCGAACCAAGATGTCCGACACCCTGCCGAGGCTCTATATCGTGTTTATATTCTGTATATTTTTCATCATGCCTATGTGTATGTTAACTTATATGTACGCGTCTATCATTCAAAAGATGTTCACACTTAACTCAGAAACGTCCCCAAGAGACTACGCCCATACCAGAACGATCAAATCCCGGAAGCAGGTTGTGCGCATGATGGTTGCCATAGTGATCCTGTTTTTTGTGTCACTTCTTCCGGTTCGAATATTCGGACTTTGGATCGTGTTTACACCCCCGGAAAGGGTCGAGGAACTGGGATTTGAGTTTTACCAAAACATGCTTTCAACAACGACCATCCTTGGTTACATCAACAGTGCAGGAAACCCAATCATATATGGACTTGTGTCCTCAAAGTTCAGGAATGCATTTAAGCATTCGGTGATAAAATGTTTGCCTCGGGGGGATGGGCGAAGCTCTTATACCCCGAGAAGCACTCCACGCCAAGCCGACCAAGCCGTCCCTATGTGCCCTGTCGAAAATGGCCGAAAGGTGTAGTTCTATAAAATACATTTGACCTTGACCTTGACCTCCAATGGTCAAGAATGAATGTGGACAACGTGTGATGTATTCCTGTGAGATCAGATAAGTAAAACAATGTGATAGGACAGTGTTTTAAGGCGCAAATAGGAATGATGACAATATTCGTAGATACAGTAAAGGCATGAGAAAGGTGAAATCAATCTATAAAATGGTATTTGACATCCGCTGAAACTTTTGAAAGGAGTAAACATGTCATATACACAAATATGTATTCAGTAAATGTCAACATAAAATGTATAATGCGATTAGCTTGCCTTTTTGAGGGGTTTTCAAACAAACGATATGCAGCTTTAATCAATTGCATTGATATGTTATGTTATTGAAATCACTGGGCGCAAATCATATTGTGTTGATATTGATATTATGATGTTGTAACCATAGCGACTGTGTCTCAATTGTTTAAATGGATACAAGTGACCTTTCCTGAGACTAAACAATCTGAATAAAGTTTATTTTAAAGAGATTACATGTAGGATGTCTTTTATAGGGGATCATCTGACAGAACGCAGTTTGATAATGTCGTCATAGTTGGATAATAAACATCCTTGTTGAAATATAGTGTAGGAATTCAAAAGCGCTTAATATCCAACGTAGAAGCTTAGTTCTCGAGGACATGCCCAGTGAGAACGTGGGAAGAGGAATTATATTCCGCGCTCTGATGTCCAGATGAGGGGATACAAAATGTGGTGTTGCAATGATTTAATCAGTCTTAGTGGGGCCGCCAATTTGCATTTGCCTTGTGGTAGATGAAGGATGAGTGAGTTTAGTTTAGTTTTACGCCGCTCTTAGCAATATTCCAGCAATATCATGGCCGGGGACATCGGAAATGGGCTTCGCACAATGTACCCATGTCGGGAATCGGGCCCGGGTCTTCGGCGTGACGAGCGAAGGCTTTAACCACTAGGCTACCCGACCGCCCCAGATAACGGATGAAGGGTGAATAAGTCGAGAATAATAATAGAATAATCTTACTTTAACACAAGAACATACAAACCTTGTTTCTTTGCCATGCATTATATTTGAAAGGAAACATCTTGTCTATTCATCACAGATTAAAAAGGGCGGTGGGGTAGCGTAGTGGTTAAAGCGTTTGATCGTCACGCCGAATACCCGGGTTCGATTCCCTTCATGGGAACAATGTGAGAAGCCCATCTCTGGTGTTCCCCGCCGTGATATTGCTGGAATATTGCTGACAGCAGCGTAAAACCATATTAACTCACACGTAGATAAAAATAAACCCTTGAAACATAATTAATAATAATTATAATAATTATGTTTCCATGTGAAATAACAAGTATTTATAATCGCACGCTGTATTTATTTTCAGACGAAACCCATTTATGTTTGTGTGTAGCCATGGCAATGGTCATTTGACTACCATTTAAAAAGTCTTTCTCTGCTTCTACGCTTCAACTAATATGACCCAGTCATTTCTGCGGAACAGACATCAGATATCGGTAGTATGCATTTATAAGAAAAATGAGGTATGTAGATATTTCCAAAAGTTACACGGAGGTAAGGACTACAATACTGGAGAAAAGTTCGATTTATCCGGGGTTCGAGACAACCAACAAAGTTAATTTCCGAAAACCAACGCTATGTAATGAGAGATCATGCTATGAATAATCTAGCCCTTGACTACAACAGTTCGTCTCCGTGCGAGAGCTGACCGAGGTACATTTTGAAAACACATTCTATTCCTGCACCATCAAGAAAATAATCCCATCATCACACATAGTTCAAGCACATGTTAGTCACACGTAATACCTCTGTATTTCTTTACCTTTGGCGCCGAATGTGACAACAAGTGCCCTAGCATTAATCTGTAAACAGATCTTCCCGAACATGCTCAAAGGATGTTTATTGTTAATCCTTTTAAATGATTCGATAGTCGATATGGCGTCGATATGGCGTGTGATAACTGGGTGACGATTGCAGATCCTTTGTAGGCTATTACCTTGATAAACAAAACGTTTATCCAGATAACACATTCTCGTTCACATTTTCACAACGGTACTTCGTTTTAATCAAGGCTCGACATGCACATTTGATATGGGAACCAGTAATGTGTTGCTGAATAACATATTAATCCAACAAAAAATCGAGCGCATAAGTGTGTATTTTGGACTTAAGTGCCACTTTGAACGGTATTTCAGCCATATCACGGTGTGTCAGATTGTTGTGAGAGGAAAACACGAATTGATACAGGTCGTCGAGTTTACCACTCGGAAGAAACCCACAAGCACTAGCATGGTGCTGATAACCAAGGATCATAATCAGGGTGATGTTAGGATTCGAACCTGTTATCTACTTACCCAGACACACTACACGAGCAATGCAAGACATTAGCTGATAAAAATTGACCGTGTAGTGCTTTAATTCCCAAACACGTATGGTCGATTTGGCGGTACAATTATCAGCAATCTTTTTGTCATCCCTAATCCTTTGTAAACACCATGGCTCTCTTATCTCATTCTCATCTGATCAGTTTCCTGTATAAATTTCCATAACGAGATATGTACAAACTTGCATACTAGTTATGGATGATGCAATCTGGAAATGTGGAACACAATCATCGCTTTTACAGATAATTGTATAACGCTGCCTTACAATGTATCCAATGTCCAATATAAATGTACCTTTACACCAATAGTCTTCAATGAATCAAACACATCCACACACATTCAATACATGTCTTTACCGAACAGCTGACGCCTCAGATACCTGCATGACACTTACAGCTGACGCCTCAGATACCCGCATGACGCTTACAGCTGACGCCTCAGATACCCGCATGACGCTTACAGCTGACGCCTCAGTTACCTGCATGACGCTTACAGCTGACGCCTCAGATACCTGCATGACACTTACAGCTGACGCCTCAGTTACCTGCATGACGCTTACAGCTGACGCCTCAGATACCTGCATGACGCTTACAGCTGACGCCTCAGATACCTGAATGACGCTTATAGCTGGCGCCTCAGATACCTGCAAGACGCTTACAGCTGACGCCTCAGATACCTGCATGACGCTTACAGCTGACGCCTCAGATACCTGCATGACGCTTACAGCTGACGCCTCAGATACCTGCATGACGCTTACAGCTGACGCCTCAGATACCTGCATGACGCTTACAGCTGGCGCCTCAGATACCTGCATGACGCTTACAGCTGACGCCTCAGATACCTGCATGACACTTACAGCTGACGCCTCAGATACATGCATGACGCTTACAGCTGACGCCTCAGATACCTACATGAAACTTACAGCTGACGCCTCAGATACCTGCATGACGCTTACAGCTGACGCCTCAGATACCTGCATGATGCTAACAGAGACAGATTCAATCAATCGAGAAATCATTTTCGTCAAATGGCCAATCTCCCTCCAAGAAATCCTAACCAATTACTCCCTCCAGCGCTATCACGTACAATCTAGCTTATTTGTATTGACGTCTGAATTTAGAACTGACTGTTGTCAGTTAGCCCTATTAGAGGGATATCGATCAGTAATTATCAGTTCGCACGACCTTCCACGTTGTATGAACGACACAGACTACGTCCTGTCACTGCTGCTCTTCATGTGATCAGCTGAGTTTACGTGGATGCTGTTGAGAAGATGCGATGATGTTTTGTTTGTTTGTTTGTTTGTTGTTAACGCCGCACTCAGTAACATTCCAGCTATATGACGGCGGTCTGAAAATAATCGAGTCTGGACCAGACAATCCAGCATTTGACATCATGAGCATCGATCCAATTCGATGACATGCATCAACCAAGTCAGCGAGCCTAACCACCCGATCCCGTTAGTCTTACCACAAGCATAGTCGCCTTTTACAGCAAGCATGGGTTGCCGAAGACCTATTCTACCCCGGATCTCCGCGGGTCAGTCAGAAACTAGAAATCATTTCGGTCGGACTGGCGATAAGAAATATGAAAATTAAACCGGACCCTTCGAGTAAGAATCACCATCGGGACGTCACACCACGTCAGCAAGACCACGATAGCTATGCCCACTTCGCTTGGGGAGTCATCAATCTCAAAGCTTGGGGCTCTGGGTACAATGTTGTCGTATATCACCCACAGAGAGGTTATGAACAATGGTGAGGAACGCGGTTTGATTATTCAGACGCTACCTCATCGACAAACTGAACGTCGTAATTAGTAACCCACGAACACGACACGAACGGCGGCATCAGTAACGTACGTACATGAACATCTGCTGTACAACGTGATCACGCGTCTTTAGTACACCTGACAGTCAACCAGCTGACTATGTTATCATTATTTTATGTGCAATTAATGACAAGAAAAGGACAATCCTGTCCTGTTTACCTGGTTCACACCAGTGAGTATGGGTTTACGCCGCTTTAAGCAATATTCCAGCAATATTCCAGTAATATCACGGCGGGGGACACCAGAAAAGGCTCCATTGTACCCATGCGGTGAATTGAACCCGGGTCTTCGGCGTGACGAGCGAACGCTTTAACCACTAGGCTACCCCACCGCCCCGGTTCACACCATAACACATCCATTTTCAAAAGCAACATTTGAGGTTGATGATGGGATATGAACACAACTCACTCACTCACCCATCTATAAACTCACCTTTGGTCGAAATAGAGACAGTTATAAATAAATAACAGACTGTAATTTACTCGAATTAATGAGTCACGGGAATTTGGTTTCTACGGAAATAATATATTTGCCTGGATTATTGACAACGTCTAGTTCACCAAAATCGCTGACCATTTAACCTCACTTGTCAAAGGGGTTCACACACACACACACACTAGGAAAAATGGAGGATTAAATCACAGAACATCTCATATTGACTTAGAGGCGACTAACGGGATCGGGTGGTCTGGCCCCCTGACTTGGTTGATGCATGTCATCGTATCCCAATTGCGTTGATCGATGCTCATTATATCAATCACTGGATTGTCTGATTCAGACTCGATTATTTAGAGGCCGCTGTCATACAGCTCAGTGCGGCGTTAAACAACAAAACAAACAAATCATGTTGACTTACTGTCGCCTTTTCGTAGAATTCCATGCTAACTTAAATTAGTGTGTAAAAGCTTCTTTTGGAATATTATATGTGTTTCTTAAAATATAAAGGTATACTCGGCGTGTGACTGACTAAATCTACGTCCTCATTCACTGTGTTTACTTTCGCGTGATGTTAGAAAGTGATTCCGTAACAAACTAGGCGCACACAGAACACAGACATTTACTGTCCAGACATACATATATTACGAGCGCTTCAATTAGTCAACAGCTACGTGCTCGTTTGATTGATATGTATTCTCATACTTTTTCCAAATCACAAACGTACCAGTTACAAATATTTTATCAGAAAAAAAACATTTTATATATCTTGTCTTTAAAGAAGGGTCTGGAGTATTTAAAGGTTCACGTCCAGATCAGCAAAATAAAGTTTATATCATTGTTGGAGTATGTGAGGACCAGTGATGACAGAGTTGTGTCCCTTGGCTGCAAGGCGCTGGTGATAGGGGTTCGAATCCAGAACATGCCCCAATAATGATCCTTGTTCTTTTAACAAAAGTGGTAAACATCTACCACCTATAATCTTGAACCTTCCTTCCACATACCCTCCACATGCCAAGCAACAACAGAACACAAACAACAAACAAAATTATGTTTTGTTTTTAACAATTTGAATCACTGTTAAATTCATATCATGAATATTTGGCAATGATGTGATAGATTGCATGGTGTCTCATCAAATCTACAAATCAAAAAGGAAAAACATGAAACAGCTGTCCCAAATTTGGTACTGATTTGTTTATTTCTTGTCAGATAAATAATACATTCATTTCTCTTATTTTCTTTTCACATCTCTTCCGTGTCTATATGTAAAACAGTGAGCCCCTCGCCACACAGAAACAGATATACCACAGACCTGAAATATAAATGTAAACAAAGCAATTATGAATGATTAAAATAGTATATTTTGTTTGTTTGTTGTTTAACACGGTACTCATCAATATTCCAGCTATATGACGGCAGTCTGTAAATAATTGACTCTGGACCAGACAATCCAGTGATTGACATCATGAGCATCGATCCATGCAATTTGGATCGATTACATGCATCAACCAAATCAGCGTGGCTGACCACCTGATCCCGTTAGTGCCTCTTACGACAAACATAGATGAGTTGTCCCTTACACTGATTGAAAGAATGTTGCGAGTGAGTGAGTGAGTGAGTGAGTGAGTGAGTGAGTGAGTGAGTGAGTGAGTGAGTGAGTGAGTGAGTGAGTGAGTGAGTGAGTGAGTGAGTGAGTGAGTGAGTGAGTGAGTGAGAGTCTGCTTCATCCCTGCAGTTATATTGGAGCCGTTTCGTGAAAAACTGTGCACTTTATGATAAAAGCATGAATCTTGGCACAGTTGTAAGGTAATGACATTCCAAATATACTACTCAAAAGAAGTTAAGGATCACCCGATTCTTTCATATTGGTAATGTTAATCTGTCATGGCATGAGAGATTAACTTTTGTAATATGAAAGAATCAGGTGATCCTTAACTTCTTTTGAGTAGTATATTTTCAGATATGGGGCCACCTCAAAAAATCCCAAATGGCTGCCAAATCCATTATGGTTCACATGGAGGAATGACATTCTAGTATATTGTATTAGTAAGAGTCTGGACCAGACAAACCTGCCACATGTCATGTACCTACAGCACCACCTGATCCCCCCCTGAGTCACCCCTTACAAACAGCAGGGTACACTGGCGACACATTCTTCCCCTGAATACAACAAGGAGGGGTTCACTCAGCCATGAAACTGTCTTTTCGGACATCTGTCTATTGCAACATTTTCCCCGGTCAGATTACACAGACTCTACTGTAATATTTTCTGGTGGCAGTGCAATGATTTAAAATAATTTCCACATTATCTAGAGCAACACATTAAGTTTACAATTCCAATGAGCAAATAAATAAGATACCATTACTGTGTATGTACAAATTAATGTCAATACATAAGAACACCCTTACCTTTCTTGCCAGACATCAATGTTTGAAATATCCGAGAAGTGGACATATCGACAAGCGACCATCTGTTGGACAGAAATACAGTGGAACATAATCAGGCCGAACCAGGATTCAAATCCACATAGATTACTGACATAGTGACTGGTCACACGCACAAGACTTTCTGCTGCAGACAAACCCTATTCATCCAGACTATATGTTTCCATGTCTGGTTAACTAGTCAACAGATAACCCTGCAGTAAATGTGTGTTCAAAAATACTTTCTGCTATTGAAAGGTTTCTTATACAAACCCTCCCTGATTGTTTTTTAAATACATAACTTGTTTCTAAAAATCTTTTTCAAGAAAATAAGTTTTTTTTTAAGATGTTGTCTTGTATTCTTAAATATCAATCTCCTTTATAATCTTTTTGTAATCATGGAAAACGACCAAAAGTACCTCCTTGACACAAGAAATCAACTCTTTCACCATCATCGTCATAGTGGATAAATTCAAATTCTGACCCTTTCTGTATTACTAATTACTGATTATTTTTAACATTTTGTATATTAGTTTTACTGATTATTATAAAATGTTGGAGATGAGTTTTGGCAACACATTGCTAAGGACTAATGAACGTTGACCTTCAAAACACTGACCTTGAAGTGTTGGGTTCCAGCATCCGACAGCTCCCACACACACACTCTCTGGTCGATGGACGCACTCACGACAAGCTGGTCGGACAGTACCCACACACCTTCAAATATATACACATAGACTAAAGCTTAGTCACTGAAAACACATAATATTGATAGCAACAAGCAAATACATTCAAACGGAAAAGGGGGCCACGGGTGGCCATGTCGTCTAAGGCAGAAGAGTCTTAGGTCATAAGTCAGGAGAGTCTTAGGTCATAAGTCAGGAGAGTCTTAGGTCATAAGTCAGGAGAGTCTTAGGTCATAAGTCGTAAGACTCTTAGGTCATACGTCGGGAGATTCTTGCATCATAAGTCAGGAGAGTCTTAGGTCATAAGTCGGGAGAGTCTTAGGTCATAAGTCGTAAGACTCTTAGGTCATAAGTCGGGAGAGTCTTAGGTCATAAGTCGGGAGAGTCTTAGGTCATGACATAAGAGTCTTAGGTCATCAGTCGGGAGAGTCTTAGGTCATGACGTAAGAGTCTTAGGTCATAAGTCGGGAGAGTCTTAGGTCATGACATAAGAGTCTTAGGTCATCAGTCGGGAGAGTCTTAGGTCATGACGTAAGAGTCTTAGGTCATAAGTCGGGAGAGTCTTAGGTCATGACGTAAGAGTCTTAGGTCATAAGTCGTAAGGATAGAGGAGTGATTATCTGGTGAACAGGGGCTAGGTCTAAACTGAAAATCTTTCTGAAATATCAATTTTATTCCATGTTTGTGAAACGTAGCATAAATCAAGCTCAAAGATTCCAGTTTGCTGTAGGAGGTAAACAGACCTGTGATCTGGGCTGCATGGGCGTGGGCGTTCTTCCAACACCCCTCCACGTGTACGCCCATCTCATCTCCTGCAGCAGTGACGTGTACGCAGGTGACCGTCAGACAGTTGTCATCCCCACCGCTGGCAATCAGGTATCTTTCATCTGTTGCCATGGAAACGGAAGAGAAGATTTGAAATATTTTGTCAAAGTCGTCTTTTCATGTTAGATTCAGTAATTGCTCTTCACCTTCTCAAGTAGCAAACACCAACAGGGTACATAAATGTATGATGTCAGTAATATTTTCTTCCATATTTAAAAACATATAATTTAAAAGATGATTTTATTGATGACTTTTTATTTTTTCATTTGTGTTGATTGGCATATTCCATTCATGGTCCTGGCAGTATTGGTATCACCACTGTGGTCTGATATCGGTTCTCTGTTTGTTTCTATTTACAAATATAACTCATTGTATACTCCATAGTTATCAAGGACTGGGACTCCAGAAATAGGCTTCACACTTGTAGCCATGTGAGGAATCAAACCCAGGCCTTCGCAATGACAAGCAAAACGCTTTATCCCCTTTTCAAAAGCAGCACACGCTAACCCTACCTCCAAGACAGAAGACATGTAGAGCATTGATCCCCGACTGATGGCACTTCACTGTAGCAACTGGCATCATGGCCACCTGCACCGATTCCTCTAACGTCTTCAGAGTCTCCCTCCTGGAGTACACTCGCTGTCCTGAGTCTGGCTTCAAAAAAGACCCACTCTTGTGACCCACACAAGTCTTGTCGCGATCCTCAGCTGAGCTTGGATGGAATGACGTCCTTTCAGAATCACATGATTCATTTGATGGCTGGTATTCTAAGTGTTCTCCATATTGCTCCTCATCTACTTCCTGCTTAGGTATATGTGTCTGGTGTGAATCTGTGTCACAGGGGGATCTAGTTTCTGCGTATGTTTGACATATATGGCTGATGTCCCAGAATGCAATCTGTCCCTCAGTTGCAGCTGACAGCAACATGACCCTTGACCTTGGATGTGATTGGTGGATGATATGACTGACCTTTAACACACAGTTGTCATGGTAACTAGATTGTTGTAGGAGTGTCAAGGATTTCTGCTTCTCGTCATAGCCAAAGATCCTGAATTAAAAAGTATGTGGATTATTATATAACAACACATTTTCAGGTATCTTTGCATGTGACTAAATATACTACTCAAAAGAAGTTAAGGATCACCCAATTCTTTCATAAGCCAAGACAGAATAACTTTAGTAATATGAAGGAATTGGGTGGTCCTTAACTTTTTTTGAGTAGTATAGGCATTCATATGTTAGATTCACCTTGGTCATAATTTTTCATCTCTTCATGTCGCCAAAGTCGTAATCAACTGTGACCATCGTCATCTTGGGTTTTTCAAACTCAGTAATCTGACAACTGCCATGCAGTGATTTAACTGAAATACTTGTCAAAGTTGCATTCAAAATCTAATATTTTCATTGTTCAAGTCACATAGTATTTTCATCAAACATCACAAAATTGCAAAACGGCATCCCTAGTAAGTATTCAAGTTTTCAAGTCCATAAGGACACTCTTTCTTAGAGTATTTATTTTAGAAATAAACAATCTTTCAGCCATCTTCGTTGCCCAGCTAAGTCTATGCATGGGCATCAAGTTGCGAGCAAAAGTTTAAATCTCCAGAAATGAGGTCATGACTCATGATAGAACAATTTTTTATCATGAAATAAACCATGCTTCATGCTTCATTGTTTTTTTGTGATTTATTGCATAGCTATCTTATATGGGCATTTTGAAGCTGAATCTAACTATGTCCAGGAATGTTGTGGATAACAAGTTCTTTATTACACATGCACAACATTTCAGAGCCACTTTTTTCTCCTTCCTTGTTATCATGGTTATTCACTCTGCCAAATCCCAATTTTATGTCTTTACATCAAGCAGCATATAAGTACCATAATTGCGGAAAGACAATGTCTCGGTTTCAAACAGGGCACTAAGTTAACATCTCGACCCAATCTCAATAAAATCAGATCTAAGTTCTCGCTGCCGCTAAACAAAGATCTGAGGACATCCCTTTACGGGTCACGTCAGAACGACCTTGCGCGAACTTTGACCGACCAATGGAATCAGAAGGCAGCTTTCTCGCGCTTTACGCCACTAATTTCAAATTGGCGACTACGCTTCGAAACATATTTTGACAAACTGTTTAAAAATGTGAAAACTGAACAAAAGAACATTCTGGAATCGCTAATAGATGGTCTAGATTGTATGGATTCAGTCGTTAAACCTGTAACTATCGTTCGGAATACCCCGTGTTAAAGTTTTTTCGAGGATGCATGATTAGAAATCACATTCCGACTGTCACTTTCATGATCTGGTAAGTGACACTCTGATTGGTCGGATGAAAGGTTGTTCTGACGTGACCCCTACTAGGATGTCTTCTGATCTTTGTTTAGCAATAGTGAGAACTAAGATTTGATTTTAATGAGATTGCATCTCGACCTAGACCATTTAAGGTGACACCAACATAACCGTAAGTTTGTCCAGAGCGGTATTAAGCCCAACTGACTCACTCACTCACTCACACCTGTCACAACCTACCTGACGAGGGCATCTGAGCATGCTGCCCCCACAACGTGCAGGGTGTCTGGATAGTCATCAGACACTTCCCGCAGACACAGAGCAGTCAGACACATCACTCGGGTCTCGGGGTCTGACTGACCCCCGCTGGCCGATCTGCACCCACGATGCCTCTCTCCACACAGGAACACAGAGGACAGGTGTTCATAGGAACATGGAGTGTCACTGATCTGACGGACACCAGGTGTCAAACCATTTGACTGGGAAATGTGACTTTTGTCTCCCGACGGGAAATTACTTTCCCGCGTCGCATCTTTCACATTGGTAATCAGCTCTTGGTCGCTTTCTTCGGGAATGATACCTTTTGTCTCGTTAGTTGGGTTGACCTTCACCTTCCATACCTGAATCTGGGCCCGACCTCCACCGGAGAAGATTATTTTCTCATGGTCTTGTAACTGACCTTGACCTTTGGTAGAACAACTAACAGCAAGTGTCTTCACAGTGGACAGATGACCCTGAAGCGTGTGATGGACTGTGAGGTTGGAAATGCCCCTGTGTGCTGAGGATGTGCTAAGGATACTTACACACCCTTTCAACATGTGACAATGCAAATGACCATCACCTTGATTAACTCAAAAACAACTAAACTGTTCACTGATCCAATCACATTAAACCAGTGTTTGAGTGTACGACCAAGTGTCTGTTCATACCAATGACATGGAATCAACTTTACTTGGCTTTTACAAGAAACATACTATTGAATCAGTTCCTCTCTGGAGGCACATACGTTGACCAATCTTAGGAGCTGCAATTCCCTTAGTACATCCCTTAGGCGTGCCAGAAACCTATTATCCTGGGTTTGAATCCCAGGTTCGCCCCGATTGTCTCTAGGTTTGTCAGCACCATACCGTTCTTGTGGGTTTCACCATAGTGGTAAACATCTGAGACTTGCATAACATCATGCTTTCCTCCCCCATAAAACTGACACTGTGATACCACTTTTAAAAGCAGTTTAAGACCCAAGTCACTCACTCACTCACTCACACACTCACTCACTCCTCTCTACCAGCCTGTGTGTGAACAATCAATACAAGGATACAAGAGATAGACACCAGTTGTACAGTTGTATCCTCACTGCAAGTTGCCAGGACGTGCACAGCGTTACCTGAAATACGTGACTTTGTTATTTAAAATACTCATGTACTATTTCCTTGACAACTACTGATAGACATCACATGGCTTCTTTAGTAAGAGAGAATTATTAAGAAGGTAGGTTCATACCCTACATCATCAAACAGAATATAGGGAGAGCACACCGATTTACTCACGAAACTGTTGTGAAATTTGTGTATTTGTTTGTTTGGGGGCGGTCGGGTAGCCTAGTGGTGGAAGCGTTCGGTCGTCACGCCGAAGACCCGGGTTCGAGTCCCGACATGGGTACAACATGTGAAGCCCATTTTTGGTGTCCCCTGCCGTGATATTGCTGGAATATTGCTAAAAAGTGGCGTAAAATCAAATTCACTCACTCGTTTGTTTGTTTGTTTGGTGTTAAATGCTCCATTCAGCAACATTCCAGCTTCATGACGGTGGTCTGTAAATAATTGAGTCTCGACCAGACAATCCAGATATCGAGATTGTAAGCAATAAACCACTCTGTCCATGCATCAACCAAGTCCCCGAGTCTGACCACCCGATCCATTTGCTCGCCTCTTACGACAAGCATAGTTGCTGGGGGCAATCCCCACAGCGTTTTGTGAAAGTAAACCAGTTTGTGTTTTGAAAGACAAGGCATTGTATCCCTCCTTGTCATGCTTGACAGAAGTCAAGGTCATGTCTTAGGGCAATATAACAGTTAGCCTTACATCAACAGGCATTAACCAAACAAAGGCATTTTATATGTTATTCAACCCAACTGGCTGTAGCAACATCAATGTATGTGAAACTCACCATGTCTGCCCCGGGATGTTGTGATATGGCGGACATCACACAACTCTCTGCCATGAAGACTGCCCTGGATAAAAAAGTCCTCGTCATGGATTGTGGTTAAAGTATACCGAGTGAGTGATTGAGTGAGTAGAGTACAGTATATGTTTTCCATATATATCAAAGCAGGGACACCAAAAATGGTCTGCACGCATTGTACCAATGTGATGAATTGAACCTAGGTCTTCAGAGTGATAAGCCAATGTTTAAACCACTAAGCTACCCAATGACCAATAAAGAATTGTAAGTACCTAAATAAATAAGATGGTGAAACAGTATATCTGACCTTGAAACACTTCAAGTGACCTTCAAAATGTTTGGGCTTTTTACACCACTTTCAGAAATTTCTAAATCCTAGATGATGATATGTATTATGTGTATGGATTATGTCTTGAGGAAACAATGTCATGACAATACACAATATGGCCACAGCTCGCTGCTGAGAAGTCGCTGACCTTGAGAATGACCTGTCTTGACCTGCACGCTGTGTCACACACCAGGATGTGTTTTGTCTTGAGGTAGACAAACCTGGCAGTCCCCCCGCGCAGCCGACAGTCCCACGCGCGATGTCCGCCTCCACACTCCACGTCCATCAGACGCAGGTTCTGTGTCACGCTCCAGAGCGTGAAGCAAGACTGGAAGACAATAAAATATGTGGAATTTTGGAGCATTTTCCATCTGATACCTCTGAAATCCCCTGGAGCAGACATGATGTGGGTTTTACTCTTTATTACACAAGTGAGTGAGTGAATGCTGTCTCATGTTATAATACACCACAGTCAGCAATATTCTACATCACGACAGCCTGTAAATAGTGACGTCTGCTCAAGACAAACCAGTGGCTGATAGCATGAACAACGGTTGGTATGGCTAAACACATATTGTGCCCATACTATCCACATTTCCATCAATTCTTGTGACAAACAAAGGGTGAATAAACTCATTTCAATGCTACTTCTTGCCCTTCATTGGTTGAAGGAATCCGAGACTACCCAACACTTTACACATAAATAATATAAATAAATACTATGGCATACATAATACTGGTACTTGTTTAGTTTGTTTGTAGCAATATTCCAACTATATGACGGCGGTCTGTAAATAATCAAGTCTGAACCAGACTATCCAATGATTGACATCATCAGCATCGGTCTTCTCTTTGGGATTGGATGACATGCATCAACCAAGTCAGCAAGCATAACCACCCGATCCTGTTAGTTGCCTACATGGGTTGCAGAAGACCAATTCTAACCCACATCTTCATGGGTACTTGTTTGGCGTGCCCTGATAATTGTCGGACTTACAGAGTGGAAGCCGTAGACCAGAGTGTCGTCTGCCGTCACATGGAGCCGGTCTATCCAATCCATCCCTTTCATCACCTGAAACACAAGACTCTGTGTAGATGGACAGCCTAGCTTCTCCTAGATCTGACATCCCAAACTTCATAACAGTCCAAATTAATACATTAATCTTTTATAAATAAACGGGTAGTGTTTCCATGGCATGTGATTGGTTAAACAAGCACATGTTTCTTGCAGTTATGCTCCAATAAACAAAATAAAGATGACATACCAAAAAGTGGTCTACTGTTTCCTGATTGGCTGATAAAAGTGGGGGTGGGGGTTGCATTATTGTGCTGAACAATGTCACTGAATTTGTATTGTTGTCTACATCTTTTGTGTGTAAATGATTACAAATAAGTTTATGAAGTTAACACTGCTGACTTAGTTATTAAAAAGAATTGACTCAACAAGTTTTGTATTTATGAAGCTATTTACTTAAAGGATGGAATGTCAGGTCATTAATCAAGTCAGGCATTTGCATTGGGTCAGTTAAAGATAGATATCAGCAAAAAAAGTTTTGTTCTTCCTTCTGTGAAATACGACATTTATCCACCACTGTGTGTAGGTATAACGTATGTACTGACCCGGTGGGAGCTCCTCAGTGTCAGCTCCCTGTCTGTCACGTCCCACTGTCTGTACTGTCCATCACGCCCCGATGTGTATACCGTGTTGCCATGGTAACATACATCTGTAACTCCAGCCTTCCCATGAATCTTCGCAAAACTTGATGCTGGGAGTGTGGCTGTTGCCTATGAATAAAGCTTTGAAGTTGACGAAACATGACAGAGTTTCCATGAAGATTCAATTTGCTTCAAAATGATGTGTTGCCAGCACTAACAAACTATTAACATGTTCTGCAGTTCTTCCAGCAGAATAAAAATAATATAGAAACATGTAATTTGTACAATAATATTACAACACCTTTTAGAAAATGGAAAAATCACAATATTCAGAACCTATCGGTAAGAGAAAATAACCAGCGAGCTACACTGAGTTTTGCATTATCTGTCCTGATTGAATCATGCTAATCCAGAGCCTTCGGCAAGGCACTTACAGGAATCATTCATGAGGGACAGAAATCCGGAAGTCCAAGTTTCGAATAGGATGTTCTATACATAACTCATTGACACTGAAGAAAGGTCAGCCCTACATATAAACACCACTGAAGACAGCTTGTTGTTTTGATGAGACAATGTACTCAATTTTTATGATGTCCTAAACAATGAAACATGGTGACATCATAGGGCTTCAACTGACCAATCAGCAGTGAGAATCACTAAAACTCACATGTGCAAATATCAGTTCAAAGCAAAATTTCTCAAAAAGTGTTATTGAAAAAAGGGAATGAATGAATGAAATCTGAAGCCAAAGTGAACACTGATAATCTCTGCTGCTTCTCCATGTCAGGACTGACCACATAACGCTAAAAAAATAATAGCCTCAGTTCTCAGGCAACGCCCACAACATCATAAAGTTCGCCGTATGTTTCATTGTTATTATTTCAATTTTAAAAAAAAAATAATAATTCTTAAATATCCCAAGTACAATTGTACCAAATACTGTATTCCAGTGTTCTACTCATCAAGGAATACATTTATGTAGGGATATCCTTTCCCAGGTTGATTGTACACAACTGTTTATTTGGTTACACAACTGTTTTGAAACCCACTAACCCCAAATGAAAATAAAAAAACACTACTATATTTTCAAAAGCCATTGCCCGAGAGTAAGCTGACAGGGTGAAGGGACATGGTAGGTTGGTTTGTTTGTTGTTTAACGCCGCACTCACATTATTCCAGCTATATGACGGCGATCTGTAAATAATCGAGTCTGGACCAGACAATCCAGTGATTAATATCATGAGCATCGACCCACGCAATTGGGATCAATGACATGCATCAACCAAGTCCACAAGCCTGACCACCTGATCCCGTTAGTCGCCTTTTACGACAAGCAGTCGCCTTTTACTGCAAGCATGGGTTGCTGAAGACCTATTCTACCTGGATCTTCACGGGCCGAGGGGAAATGGAGTTAAATGTTATGTTCAAGATTATTTCACTTACAGAGATACATGTGCATGTGTGTGAGTGCATGTGTGTGAGTGCATGGCTGCTTGTACTCTTCCGGACTTATCATACCAATAACAATCTTAAAGTGCTGGTCCACTGAGATACCATGCCACTCCGCCCGCAGACACATTATATTGATTTCCGAGCAAACCTGTTTTATCCTCTTTATGCCAACAAAAGGCGGGATCTAAAAAAGTAAAATCTTGTAATGTCTTTTGGCACAATCAAACCACCAACATTGTGCTCTGCAGCAGTCTCCGGAGGCTGATTCACTGATCATAGAAGGTGTCAAGAAACTTGAAGGGAGACAACAAGACAGGCTGTAGATCTGAGGATAAGTGTGATGAAGCCTATCGGTGCGCATTCGGTCATGTCGACACAGTGTTGCATTGGTGGCGTCTGTCTGGACTGGACTGCTGATGTGTTCACTGATGCCTAGTTTGACATGAGTGGGTAGAACTCTAGGCCCGGCAGTGATAACTCACCAAATGCCCATTGTTGAACTTCTATATTTTTTAATTTCATTGTTATATACTTGTTCCAACTGCTGCTCAATAAACCATGATGTGGAATGTATAGATTTTTGTGTTTTATATTCAAGTTGGTATTTCCGCTTTCAAAAGTGTGCAGTGAGGCCATCATATTGTTGATAGTCATTTTGGAGACATAAACGTGATTTTTTCCATTTAATTCACACTTGCGTTAATTGCAAGATTTTCAGTATTCTACCAAGCCATGCTATCAGGTGTACATTAATGGAAGACGACTTCCAGCAACCCTCACGTACCTGGTCCCCAGGGTTGATGTGGTAGCAGTGCACTGTCCCACCCCGGTCTCCACACACCAGCACCCCCAGGGCTGCACACAGGACCCCCGCCGACGCCCATCGCTGTTTACACACTGGCAGGGTCAGGCAGGCAGTCTTGGCGAGGGAGGGGGCAGACAGAATATACTGAAAACAGAAATCGATGAAGTGGATGAAAGCCTGGACGAAACAGGGCAAATATATAACATACTACAGCAAATTAATTTGGATAAAAAAGTTCCTTACTAAATCGTGTAGATTAACATTTTGGAAAACTGCGAGCCAATATTGAGTAGTTCTCGAAACCTGGCAGCACACATGTCCAGGTCTCCTGCGTCATGTAACATCATGGTGAGATGACAGGTACCAGGCTTTGCTATTTGCCCTCTGCATTAAGGATTTGGCTATTGTTGAGTTGAGATAACTCAATGTATTAGAAGTATTGCAAAACTGTATACTCTGTATTAAGTGCCCTGCTTCAAACACCATCCACTGGCAAATTTTTAGATCAATCTGTGAGTAATCTTGCCTCATACTTAGAATGAACATTTACATGGCACTGCATATTTTCAGTGAGTATATTACATTGTACCCAACAGCGCAGAAGAGGTTCATAAACTGCTAAGTAACTATTAGGGAAATGTTTATAGTTACATTGATGTTTGAACTAACTTTGTTCCCGCCGCTCGATGTCTGAAAACAAACTTGACACGTTGTGTATGGCTTGAAAATGCACCCATTTTGTTGATTTTCTGAAAAGCACCCAGGGCTTTTATTATGGCGAATACTATACATAACCAGCTTTCACAGTGGAGACCACAAAAATAGAGCCTCACATATAGTATAGTATGAGTGAGTGAGTATGATTTTACGCCGCTTTTAGCAATATTCCAGCAATATCACAGCGGGGGACACCAGAAATGGGCTTCACACATTGTGCCCATGTCGGGAATCAAACCCGGGTATTCGGCGTGACGAGCGAACGCTTTAACCACCAGGCTACCCGACCGCCCCACATATATTATAAATGAGGGGAGTCAATCAAGTGACGAACTAACACCTACAATAAACACGAGGCTACTCGCCTCCCCTAATTAAGAGGTGGACCATCTAGATAGAAGATTTACCATCATCCCCTGTGGCCCCGTTGTCAGCATGTGACCAGTGTCCACCCAGGTAAGGCCGAACACTTTCCCTTCAAATATTTGACCGCCACTGCAAAGTGCACATGTACCTGGGAATCAGATCACAATGTCATTATTGATTTTGAAAATAGACTCTTTGAATAGAAACTAAACCTGCAAGTTTTGTTCTAAATAGGCTAAAATAATCCGAATATATGTTTAACATACCAACATCAAAGACCTTGACAGTGCCTGTTATGTTACCAATAGCAACAAGTGTGTTGCTAGGGTAGACGGCCATGACAGTGTAGGAGGAGAAGAGTGCATCTTGATACAGACACGTCCAGGTACGAGATGAGACACTGTATCGCAGGAGACATCTACAAGGGGAGATAACTGCTGTCAAATGAATATCATAGATATCCAATAATTATGCAACAAAGTTGCCAAATGTTATGACTTTATATTAACTAGATGGCCATTCATGCATGTCATTGGTTAGTTCTGGTGCCACATCAGTGATATTAATTTTGTGTATGACCTCCTTTTAGTGACATATTTGTTTGAACACATTACATGTCATGTAACATTGTTATACAAAAACAATAACACTTTACAAATATGAACAAGAGTTTGCCACTAACGTGGCTTTATCCCCCACCCCTGTTGCAGAATTTATGACATAATTAAATCTAAACAAACCCTAACCTTTTTTAACCGAGGTGGAACTTGTCATGAAAATTGTAAAAAAAGAAGAGTTTGGAACATAAGTCCATCTTGTTGCCATGGAAGCGTAAAAAATAAAAAATTCTAAATAGCAAAAGGCACCAGTTCAGCATGTATCTGACAGACCTGCAAAGTTTGATGAAAAAATATTGAATGGTTTCTGAGTTATGCTCTGGAAACGAAAAAAGACGGACGGACGGACCGACGGACCGACAGACCGACCGACGGACGGACGGACGGATGGACAGATGGACGGACAGACGGACGGAGCCTGTTTCTATATCTCCCGCCAACTTTGTTTGGCGGGGGATAATTACAAGCATTTCAAGCATGTATAGTCCATACCCTCCATTGGTCATGATTAGAACAATGTCCATTCCACACATGGCGATACTCCTGGCAAAGTCATCCTTCTCACCCTGGGGAAACACAAGGCAACATTAGTCTGCCACCCTGGTCAGGGTGTTCAGGATACAACATTTATCTACAGCATTGCAATAATCACTATCAAAAGATTGAAACAAAAATATTTAAAGAAAATAGAACATTTTCCTGAGATTAAATACTATTCTAAAACTCATGCGACCATGAGTCTGTGACAATAATATATTTCAGTGGATTGACTGGCTCCTGTCTACCTAAACAATGAGACAGGCAGAGGCCGGTGTCTTGTTGGCTGTGATTGGACAACAGTAACCATATCTTTCATTGGTCCTTGGTGTCAAATGAAGAGGGCAGAAAATGAAGCTTGTTTGTGAGAGTCAAATTGTTCTCACAGAAGCTTGTAATAACGTATATTGCCCCAGACATACGAGACGTAGACATGTTTTGTGACATTTGGGATCCATTGGCTAATACCCAACTAAAACAACACCTCAACAACCAGACTGACTATAAATTTCTGGGAATCAACAGACCCAAGGAAGATTTTGATCCCTGATAAAGATTTTAGACAGTATTCCTTCTAGCTAAATCGTATCCTTGTTTACCTGTAAGTGAGAGGGTAGAGACAGACTCAACTGTGGCGCCTCCTGGTGGTGGTCGGCGTCATCCAGCAGCCACATCCTGATGCTGGCGTCGCCCCCTCCCGTCACCTGTCACATTTGGTCATACATAGGGTGTGGCATGTTAATATGTGGATACGAAACTTTCCCTCGAATACAAAACTGCCCTCTATGCTTTGGAAATGACTTTACGGCAGCCATCTTGGTTTGCTTTAGGCAACACTTTAGTATTGTTTTGGTAGATGCATACAAGTGTATATGAAGACCTTGTGTCTGTCTAGTTTAACATGGCAATGAAGAGTGAGGGTGTCAGGATTCACCAGTGTATCAATTCATTGTGAATTTACACATGACAATACGATTCACAATGCACCTACCCACTGATATATTTTTAGTTTGTATCTAGTTTCAAAAGTTCTACAAATGTTTTTACAAAGGCCACACTCTGGGTAGTTTATTAAACTCCATAAAGCCCAAATCATAGTGAAGTCTTAACTGCACCAGGTACACACTAACCGGTTGATAGAAACAAACACCAGCTCGTCTGACCACACAGAACATGGAGAATTTCACAATGACATGGCAGAAAATTGGCAGTTTTTCTGGCTACATTTTGATCATTGTCTGAGCTGTTTCTATCACAATACAACCACATAATTAACATCTACAGTACAGGACAATGGGAAATATGTTCAATAAATATAAAAACATACCACAAACTTTCCACTTTTGTCACAGGCAAGACTCCAAATACTTTTCCCCTGAAATTGTATAAATAAATATAATGCATATTTAGTAGTTATAGTTATGTATGGCTAAAAAAAATAATAGTCTTGGTTCTCAGGCGCCGCCTGCATCATCATAAAGTCTGCCGCACATTTCATCTTTATTTCCATTTTTAAAAAATTTAAAAAATCCTAATACTTAAAAACAATAGATTCAATATTGTACACAGTTACTTCCCTTTACATGCGCACTGCTTTATTTGGTTACATACTATACTAGCCACATAAAGAAACTGTGCACGGAGAAAATATAGATATAAGGGCACACCGTCCATATATGAAATATAGGTTTGAACACAGCAATTATTGGAGACATTCAAACGCTCATGCACGTGCCATGCGATATGACGTCATTGATGGGGGCCTATGGACGTGCAATGTGTTACTGCACGTGCATCCTGTGCAGCTGTACACAGCATGTGCAACTCAAAATTCGCTGTCACTTTGGAAAGCATGATCTGTGGTCATTCAAAAATTCAAAACTTCTCAGGCGCAGACACAAGCATATCACAAGCAAATCATGCCAAGATTGACAGCTGCACAGCGTCATGAAGCCATTGGAATGATCCGAGCGGGAATGAGGCAACAACAGGTGGCAACACATTTCCAATGCCATCGTAACACGATATCGGCATTGGTGAGGCGTTATCAGAACACAAATGACGTTGCCGACCACCCACGTTCAGGACGTCCCCGAGTAACGACGCCAAGACAGGACAGATGGATTCGAGTGACACATCTCCGACACGGGTTCCAAACGGCAGTAACGATGTCCCAGACAATTCCTGGACTGCGCCGTATCCATCTCAACACTGTCAGGAATCGTCTAGGTCAGTACGGGATTCGACCAAGACGCCCTGCCATACGTCCCATCCTGACACACCGTCATCGCGTCAACCGTCTAAGATGGTGTCGAAATCATGTTCGCCAACCTCGAATATGGTGGAGAAATGTTGTCTTTACATTTCCCACAGTGACTGGCACCAACACGTCTACCGGCATTTGGGAGAACGTTATGCACGCAACTGTATTGTGGAGACGAATCGTTTTGGAGGTGGCTATGTGATGATTTGGGGTGGGATAACAGCACGGCACCAAACCCCTTTGGTGGTTGTTCAGGGCAATCTCACCGCCATGGCCTGCAATTTCTCCAGATCTCTCCCCAATAGAGCATGTGTGGGATGAAATGGAGTGTGTCTGCGTCGTCTTCGACATCCTCCAGATAACGTCCGTGACTTGGCATAGGATTTGAGGAGGATATGGCAGGCCATTCCCCAGGCCTTCCATGCCCATTTGGTGGACTCCATGCGTCGCCGATGCACTGCTGTGATTCACGCACAGGGTGGTCATACCCGTTATTGACTTTGTGACTTTGTCGTTTGACCCCCTACTCCATTTTGATCTTCTGACGTCATCGTAACAGATGTTGTTCAGGTCCCGTTGACATTTTCTTATGGTCCGATCATTCAGCTGCTACAGCGTCTGCATCATTTTGTTCTTGCTGTGTTGTATTTCAATCCAGAATATATTTTCTCCGTGCACAGTTTCTTTATGTGGCTAGTATAGTTTGAACAAACACACACACACAAAAAAAAAAAACACTATATTTTCAAAGGTCATTGCTAGAGAACCTTTCCCTTATTTTTTTAAGCCTATACAGGACTGTTTTCTTGATACAGAAAAGTTGTATAGCGGACATCAATTGTAGTTAGCATGGTTTGGGTAATACAACCATAGGAACTGTGACAAACCCTCCAAATATGGGCGTCACAATTCTCTTGCCATTGGTGTGTATGATTTTACCTTGTGACCTTTGAACTTGTGCAGTATGTTCCCAGCGTAGTCCCACACGATACAGGTAGCATCCTGAAACAGCAGATCGTAATTAACAATTCAACTTAATCAAGACATCATTTGTATCTGTTTTGGCTTGTTCTAATAGGTGTTTAAAATATTATACCATACAGTGTCATCTGACAACAGCCCAATATCTTACCTCCCCCACACTGACAAAGATGTCTGCCAACAGCTCTATGTCCCAAACGCGGGCCGAGTGTCCGTACAGGGTCAGCAAGGATCTACTCTCCATCTCACACCAATCTGATATGGAAGGGTCAAGGCTGTTTGAGGGGAAGGTCAGTTTCCACAGTCGTATCGTGCGGTCGTCCGAGACAGATGCCAGGATGCTGGTCTTGGGGTTGTAGTCAATTGAAAATATCACCCCCTGAATTGAGAAGATGAGATCACAACACTGGCTGAACAGAAGGAAACGGTTGTTCATGGTTTGTCTTGGGACTGCTCACCCAAACACACCCGTTGCTATACAACTTGCATGCTTTTCATGCTCTGTATCAGACAGACTACCTTGAACAGCTTCATATAATAGTTGCCATATTATCGTTGTGGGACAAAGACGTTCATAGGACTTCGGTCATCAGAATGTTTTTGAAAATATTAGAAGAACGTCAATTATCAGGAAGTTAATACCATGTTACGATAGAAAGTGGTAAATTATTCACACTTTGTGGTGAAAATATAGTAAAAGTGTCATTGTGGGGATTAATTCATTGGTATAAATAGGGTTTGTGTTTCTTATTAAATTTCAGGCATTATTTGTTTTGACATGTTGTTTATTTATTAATGGGGAATAAGAACTGCCTCATTCCCACTGACGTTACATAAATCTAATAATAATATGGAGTTTTGCACATACATTTATAATGTCTTCATGCTAATGCTTCAATTCTAAATGCAACAATGTGTACAATAAAGTGTTTTCTATCATGTAGATGAGAGTGCTATAATAGTAATAACAGTCCACAGATTAATCGACCTTCCTTGAAAGTGTCAAAATCAGGAATGACACCCTACACACGTGTGTGGCGCTAATGCGTGAGGCACATGCAAGCTATCTGATGTGTTTTGGTGTTAAGTTTTACAAACATAAACGTTCTTGCATAGGATGTTTGTCGTCAACACTTATCTTTGTTCTAATACTGTAAATAATATTAACATTTATATTTCATGATACCCTACAATTTCTCAAGAATATTTTTTCATTAACATTACCCAAATAGTCAAATCACAAAAAAAACCACTTCTTAACCCAAAAGCTCTATCCCCGCCTAAGATATGATCTTTGTGGTGATGGGCAATGTGGAAACAAAATTACTTACTTGATGCCCCTTGAGCCTGTGGATTACCTCCCTTTGTTCCTGGTTGTTCCTGGCTCCGTGGGGAGACCAGACGATCACCTGGTTGAACACGGTACCAGCTGCCAGGACCAGGTTAGACCAGGAAGTGTTGATGAAGTGAGCACAGTAGCTCCGCAGTTAAAGAACATGCACTTGGGCTTTGTATTTAAAGGGGAACTAAAGAACATGCACCTGGGCTTTGTATTTGAAGAGGAACGAAAGAACATGCACTTGGGCTTTGTATACTCAACAACAAAAGTTCCTGTGACACCAATATTTTAGTGTATTCTTCAAAAAAGTAAAGATTGGTTTTCAATATTGTGATACATGTATGGAATCAAGTCACAAAAACGCAACTGCTACAGAAAAGCATGCATTCCATGCAAATGTTGACCTTTATGCAAGCCCCATGCATTTCACTACCCAAGAATGTGTATAAAAACATGTGCGTTAACGGGATTCCATATGCATTGTTTAGCATCGTGCTGACAACAACCACTCAGACAACAACAAAATTACGCAATTATTCAACATTACGAAATGCCACGCCTGTCCGAAAATGAGCGTCTGCGAGCCATTGGTATGCTTGAAGCAGGATCGAGTCAACATGATGTTGCAAGACAATTTAACGTCCACAGAAACACCATTTGGTAGCGCTACGATTGAGCCCGATTGAGCCCAGAAATTCCAGCTTCATTCAAGGGTGGAAACAGGACTTAACAAGTATTTGTCACAAAGTGACGAAATGTCCCCCGCCTGTATATACACCATAGTACCACATATGAAGACAATCCAGCGATTAGTTCTTGAGATATTGCGGCAACACCGTTTTCCAACTCCAAAAACAGATTTGCCTGCTGTGACCTTGAAAATGGGATCAAGGTCACCAAAACCGACCGGTGTATGCGGTGTCTGTATATACACCATAGTTCCAAATATGAAGACAATCCAGCGATTAGTTCTTGAGATATCGCGGCAACACCGTTTTCCAACTCCAAAAGCAGATTTGCCTGCTGTGACCTTGAAAATCGGGTCAAGGTCACCAAAACCGACTGGTGTCTGCGGTGTCTGTATATACACCATAGTTCCAAATATGAAGACAATCCAGTGTTTAGTTCTTATGATATCGCGGCAACACCGTTTTCCAACTCCAAAAGCAGATTTGTCTGCTGTGACCTTGAAAATAGGATCAAGGTCACCAAAACCGACTGGTGTCTGCGGAGTCTGTATATACACCATAGTTCCAAATATGAAGACAATCCAGTGTTGAGTTCTTGAGATATCGCGGCAACGACGTTTTCCAACTCCAAAAGCAGATTTGCCTGCTGTGACCTTGAAAATGGGGTCAAGGTCACCAAAACCGACTGGTGTCTGCGGTGTCTGTATATACACCATAGTTCCAAATATGAAGACAATCCAGCGATTAGTTCTTGAGATATCGCGGCAACACCGTTTTCAAACTCCAAAAGCAGATTTGCCTGCTGTGACCTTGAAAATGGGATCAAGGTCACCAAAACCGACTGGTGTCTGCGGAGTCTGTATATACACCATAGTTCCAAATATGAAGACAATCCAGTGTTTAGTTGTTGAGATATCGCGGCAACACCGTTTTCCAACTCCAAAAGCAGATTTGCCTGCTGTGACCTTGAAAATGGGGTCAAGGTCACCAAAACCGACTGGTGTCTGCGGAATTTGTATATACACCATAGTTCCAAATATGAAGACAATCCAGTGTTTAGTTCTTGAGACATCGCGGCAACAAACAGGTGGGACGTACGGACGGACGTACAGAGGTACGTACAGACGGTCGTGAATACTATATCCCCCGCTTCGCGCTTTCGCGCGGTGGGGGACAATAAGTCAGTTAATTCCCTGGCCTTAGGAAGATGTTGGCACTCTTAACGGAAGGAATTTCTAACCCCAGAAACATGTATTGGAGACAAGGATACAGAATGCACTTCTCCACACAGTCTACCCTGTGCAGCAGCGTCCTTGACGTGATGTCCCACAGCAGGATCACGTTGTGAGCCACAGCCACAGCCAGCTGTTCGCATTGCTGAGATTCAGGCTGAAACGTCACAACATTCAAGGGACAAGATTAGACTTGCATTTCATTCAGTGGCCTTTTATTTTGTCACAAATGGCCAGGGCAGACTGGTTCCTGGCTGTACATACATAGCTTTAGTTGATTACTTTGTAACTCTATTCTGATAAATTTATTCTTTGCCAACTGTCATATTGTGATTTCCTTTCTGTTCTACGCTTAGATATTTGCACAGGGTAATGTTATAAATGCCAATGTTTCTATTATGTTTCCCCAATTATCATGTATATTGGAACAATTAGGATCTCTGATCTTACACCTCTGATGTGCAGGGATGGGGTCTGGACTGTTTCTATTTCAAATGTTATCCTCACAAGCTTAAAAGAATGAATTTCTGTTTGCTGACACAAGTAATAACGTAAAAATAAGTCACATAATATTTTTGAGATCCCTGCCAATGTAAACTGCCTAAGTAATTGCACATATGCCACTGGTTTGATTTTGTTGTGTTATTTTTATATACAGGGTTGCACTAATAAAATAAAATAAAGTTTCAACAATGTGTCAGACATGAATCTTGAACATTCATAGTTTTTCTTCTAACTTGTCCAAAGGCCGCCAATTATTTCTTGTATATAAGAATATGATTGTTTACACCGAATCCCAATTGCGTGGATCAATGCTCATGATATCAATCACCTGATTGTCTGGTCCAGACTCGATTATTTACAGACCGCCGTCATATAGCTGGGATACTGCTGAGTGTGGCGTTAAACAACAAACAAACAAACAAATATGATTGTTTACAAAATGTCAGGTGAAGAATTTAGCCAGTTACAGTCGAACACAAATATAAACAAACCTCTTCCATAAACCGGACATCAAGAATCCAGTCCTCCAACACAACAGCTTCATCTTGACAGTCAACTCTGAAATATCGTCACAAAACATAAATACAGACATCATGTCAACAAGACGAAAACATCAAGGAATTAGACTAATAGGTATCCAATACTCAGAATTTAGCCTGAAAGTCAAGGAGTCCTTGTTACAACCCTAATGTTAAAATAAGAACGGACAAAAGACCAACATGCCCAATGACCCCTGGACACCCCTTAATTCTGAACTCTGTAAATATATACATATCAGTTGTTGACACAACAGGAGTAACATGAATGTATACTACTCAAAAGAAGTTAAAGAACACCCAATTCTTTCATATAACTATGGTTAATCTGTCAGTAACATGTATGTATACTACTCAAAAGAAGTTAAAGAATAACCAATTCTTTCACATTACTATAGTTAATCTGTCAGTGAATTTATACTACTCAAAAAGAATTTAAAGGACACCTGCTTCTTTCATATCACAATAGTTAATATGTCGTGCAATCAGGTGTTCTTTAACTTCTTTGGAGCAGTATACATTCCGATTCTACTTAGGTAACGATTACGAGGGTAACCTTACTTTCTATGGGATTGATTGAGTCATCTTGAGGTCAAAATATCCAAGATTTAACAGATTCAATGACTGATGATAATTATTTTGATGTTTGCATAGTGCTCTTTCCATGGCCGTTCTAAGAAAGAGCTCAGGTTTGGAGACTACAATCAGAAGATTATTTACTTTGACACACATCTCAACGTGACCACAAGGCAAACTGACTATTCTTAGATCTCAGAGGCTGGAACAACTGTGTGATGAAGCTCAGTTTACAACCGAGATTCTCCTGCTGCTAACTTGTACAAACTGCAGCCATGACTTATACAAGTTGTATGCTGATCTACGTCTAAACATTTGCTATGTTGAATGCATTGGGGCTCACACCTTATTTCAGGGTCGGCTGATGTAGAGAAAATTCTGAAACACTTCTCTCCATAGGCACAGAACACATTCTCTGTTAAATCTGAAACAGGAAATTTAGGACAAATTGATGTCATTCGGTTAAGATATGACAAATACAACTTTAAACCTTATATTGACAGTGTGGAGCTTTTTGTAAGTAGAGCATTCTCTGTTGTGACATCAAACGGACACTTAATTTCAGCGACCTGCCATATACATGATCTGTCTACAAGGAATTGTATGATTATACCTTCCCTATTTGACGTTATTTTTAGACATTGAGGAAATCCCCAAAAGTATTTCTGTATAGGTCTCTCCACTCAACATGCTCTATTGACAACGTAATCATGCGACATACTGACGGTCATTGGGAAATGAACATGTTAGCTTGGTAGTGTTCATCAAGGCAGGGTCACCCGCTACTGTCAATATTGATCCTATGAAGCATAAGCTAACATATGCTTACCTCTGATAATCCCATGGATGTTCCTGCATGGTAGCACATATTGCAAGGCTACCTGCTCCCTCTTTTCCGTTTCGTACACATGCACACTGCCTCCTATCCCTGTATCAGAGCAAGAAGAGATAAAAACGTTTGACTTTGACAGTGATAGTTACCTAGCTGGTGTATTCAACATGTTAAAAAGGTTCTAGATTTCCAAAATTTGATTAGACAAAAAACAAATCATTAAATTATGATAGGTGTCAAGTTACGGTAGTCTCACTACGGAGCAGCCATCTCACTATATGATTCATCTTAACTTAAATCACTTACCTTTACAATCTTAATAAGCTGGTTGATATGGTAAGACAAGGTTATTTTGTGCAGCATTATAATCTGATATTTGAAATACAAAACACATACAAGTAAACTACACTACTACTTGTAACGGTCCCAGATTAAGGGGTTAATCATTGTTACTATGCGTAGCAGGGCATAGATTCAGCACACATCTTTACCTTGTCAGCCAGCTGACAGGTTTAACTCTTTGGGCATGTGGACAATGCATCCAACCTAAGATCAGAAGGTTGATCTGTGGCTCGAATCTGATCACAGCATTCAGATATTTTATGGACGCTACTTGTGTATGATCTTTAGGAATCACGAAGATTGTGGCAATAATGCAGTTTACCGGGCGCAGCCCGAGCTCTACCATCCGCTCAATTACGGCGCTATAGTGCCACCACTGTCTCGTTAAACCGTTACCATGCCTCACGCTCTGGTGACTCTCGCTTCACGATCCAACACCCGTTTCGGTCTAAGGGAAACTTACACATCTTTACAATCAAACACCCGTTCTCGGTCTTAGGGAAACTTACACATCTTTACGATCAAACACCTGTTCTAGGTCTTAGGGCGAAGCGCGTTCGAGCCCCCACAGCGCTAAATGGATCTGAAAAAAGTACGCCCGGTAAAGTGCACTACTCCCAAGATTGTTGCCATAACTCAAATACAAAAGTAAAGTGAAATTTTCCCCAAATGTCCCAATACCTTTAATAAATTATGCACATCTAAATATGTTTTTGTACATTGCGCAACTTACTCCATCAAAACACTGCCTACCTGCTAACACGTGTCCCTTGAGGATGGACACTGCTGTCACGGGACCCGTATGGAACTCAGTCTTGATGGACATGTCAGAAATGTCCTTGGTCGCCATTTGTCAGTTGCATCTGGTTATTATTCAAGTCAAGTTTCAAGCAAGCTGGGCAAACACAACTAAAAATCATCAAAATCGTCTGTAAGTTGAATGTATCTTTGTGGCAATGCATTGACACAGTGTCCGGTTAGTTAAAGATTTTAATTTGACTAATCACATTTTGATAATTAAGTTAGGTTTACTGTTTTTGACCATGATCATATATTTGAGGCTCAAAACATCGACACATGTTTTGAAATTATCTACCCCTGTTTCTCACCGGAAGTTGTTTCTCGAGTTTAAAATCCGGGTAACTTTAACATTAATGTTAACATACGTAAACATTTTGAACGTTAACAATGAGAATATTTATCAAATTGGTATATTAAACATATATAAATATGTTTTACTGTCAATATGAACATTTACGTGTCAAAACTAAACTAAGGGTTACAAGTATTCTCATATTCGTCCGGTTTGTTTTAATCCGCAAATCGTACTCGCATAGGTGAAGGTCATCAGCTGGTTAATTCTTGTTTCAACACATGGCAGGCATGGCGAAACATCTTCTGAGTTTTGGGGTTTGTAACAGACTCTTCCTCGTGAATAAACCGTTATGCAATTGTCGTGTGCGAATTTACACATTGAATGCGTCTTTTTCCATTCACAGGTGCGTTCATTCTTGCAACAGGCGAACTCCACACTAACGAAATGTCAAGTTTCCAAACTATCAGTGAATTATGCAAGGTCCTTCAGTTCAGGTATGGACTACTTTGGGTTGATGTCAGTCGCTGATGTATAAGGTGTGCCATGCGTATTACATTATCCCGCCAACCAAGACAACTACGACGGAAGCACCACAGTATTGTGACCTTATTGGGTGAAATATAAATAGGTTAACACATGAAATTTTCAAATAAAACATTTCCAGTAATTTGGACTAGTTTTTGACCTCGCTACAGTCTTTGTTAGATATACATTCAAGTGATAATTAATATTAATAAGCACTTGTTTAGCTTTTGAATTACAGTAAACTACAGTTATAACAAGCTTAAAGGGACCACTAATTTTAGTTTGTAATAACAATGATAACCGTGTTCGTTTATAAGCATATATACAGCATATATACAATAAATGGCCAGGACTAAAAAAAAAGGCTGTTATATCGATCAGTTTGTTAAAAGCATGTTCATTATAAACATAGTTTACTGTAAATGTGAATCAACACATCTTGATGAAGTTTCCTGATTAAATGCAATGAAAAAATAAAATTATTAAGGTATTATATATTTTGCACAAGTCCACAAGCTAATGTGTTACAGAGTTGCCATCTACTATCAGGTAAAAGTTTTAGTCTGCAAGGAAATGTAGCAAGTCATTTCTCAATTTTACTAGTCCCGGACTAGCAGACTTATGTTAATTTCAAACCCTGATATTTTTTCATTTTGTCAAAACTATTCAGTCATTCATACTAATTCTTCTTCTTTTTAATAATAATCCGAAATATGGTAACCCCAATTGCCTCAACATCCACAATTTAGGGTTGTCATCTCTGGCTCATCTTTAGATGATCATCTGATTGTTCAAATATTCAATTTGACTCATGCTTTCAAACAAAATATGCACATTATTTCAAAATACAAGTGTTTTTCTTTGTTAATCATGCCTATTATCCAAAATAACCCCAATTGCCTCAACATTAACAATTCAGGGTTGTCATCTGTGTCATGATCATCTGATTTTTAAAATATACTATTTGACACATGCTTTCAACATGTTCAAATAAAAGCTGCACTTTATTTCAAAATTTGAATGAAATAATGTGAACATTTGAAAATTCCTACCAGTCTGATTTGGAAGAGTAAATTTTTTTTTCTATTATTGTCCATTAATCGCTTTTTTGACAGGGACACAGGTTCAGTTTGCTGGATTGAAGATTTTACATTTTTCTTTGTTCTTTATGTTCAGCCCCAAAGCTGTTGAGTCCAAGAGTGCAGTACCCGGCACCTGATTTCCAAGGAACAGCTGTTGTTGATGGTCAGTTCAAGGACATTCAGCTCAGTGATTTCAAGGGGAAGTACCTCGTCCTGTTCTTCTACCCTCTTGATTTGTAAGAATCTTTTATAACTCCCCTTAACCAGTTTTAGCACGTTCAGCAACATGAAGAATTCCAATGCTATGTATTTTTCTTCTCCAAGCATGTGGGGTTTTCAACCTGGAGTCTACAGCAAATGACAATAAAAATTCCCAATTTGAATTTTAAAATTCCCAATTCTTCAGAATTTATGAAAATAAGAACATAAAAGAAATCCTGTTATGAACAATGTAGCATTTTTTTCTCAGTTTGCCCCCCAAGGGCACTTCGTTTGGAATCCTAGATAAATCCCTGCGTCATAAATGATAACATATTTGAACATTTTGACAATAATATGACGACAAATCTTCAGTGGTGTTGGCGCTTTCTAACTTCACATCCTGTCGTATTCCAGCACGTTTGTGTGTCCGACGGAAATCATTGCGTTCAGTGATGCCATGGATCGTTTCCGCCAGTTGAACACGGAGGTGGTAGGCGTGTCCACAGATTCACATTTCAGTCATCTCGCCTGGATCAACACTCCCAGGAAGGTGGGATATACTGTATATATTACCTAAAGGATGGGTGGATATTATAAACTACCTAATAACATGTTCTACTTAATACAATACTCAGCTTATTACCAATGTTGCCGAGGGTGGCTGCCTATTAAACAGTGTAACTAGCTAGGTTGACCTGAATATTTCATTACAACATGAAAACATTTAAAACTATGAAAATGAAATTATGTTACAAATGAAATCTGTTTTCAAAATATGTGCATGGGGTGTTTGTATTAGCTGAGCATTTAATATGGTGTACACCGTACATGTTCTTATTTTAGCCATGTCTATATCATGTATATTGTGCCCTTTTTTCTCAAGGTATTTCTTTTCAATGTTTATGATGAAAATGTATTGCAGTGAAATTTGTGAAGAAAGCCGTGGTTATGTCGAATAATTTATATTATGTTGTTTGCCACATATTGGATTAGACACAGTCATATATTTGTGGTGCAATGATCTGTGTCCTCTGTTTATAGCAAGGGGGTCTGGGAGGGCTGAAGTACCCCCTCCTGGCTGACTTCAAAAAGTCTGTTGCCAGGGACTACGGTGTGCTTGTAGAGGACATGGGGGTTGCACTTAGGTTAGTATAGAGTTGTCTCCCTTGATGTGTTTCGCAAACTCAGTTTCAACATGATTTAGTCAAAGATGGGATTGTCACATAAGTAAATGTATTATTTCAACTCTGACAGTACCATTAATTGATTCAAATCATTAATTATTAACCACATCAGTACCATCATTCAATCTTTCACAGAATATTTAACATGTTCATCTCTTGGTCACACCATTAGATCACATCAAAATCTCCCTATTGACAGAAATGTTTTGAGACTAAAACCTCAACAGGGTTTTTAACCTAAGCTGGTGACAGACATGTTGAGTGCACAGGTATTATACAGATGTAGTCAAGTTCAAATGCCAGCCAAATTGGTCAATATCAAAGATGTCAAAAGTCACATGATGCCAACATTAGGTTTGGACTGCTTTCAGAACTTCAACAAATATGAGTGGATTACAAAATTCAAGTTTGTATTCAAGCGATATAAAAATCCAAAGATATAGTGTTTTGATTTGGGATCGAGGCTACAATTGCTGTACTATAGAGTTGGGTCGTGGGTGATTACCAATGATTTGTAGATCGAGGCCCAGGTGTTCAGGCTGTAAATTCCGCAAATATAAGAATTAACAAAGTTCATTTTGTAGACATGTGACTCATAAGCACAGGTTCGTAACCAGGAGCATCAGTCAGTTTCAAGTGGGTACAGGACAACCGCTGGTTGCTGGACGACAGCCGACCAAAGTGGTGATGGGTTCTACTATGTAAACGGTCTTTAGGTCTTGATCACATACAAGCGGTGAAGCACAAATAAAAATCTGATAAAAAACTTTTTGTCTTTTCTCAATGTATTTTTTTCTGACCATAGGGGGCTGTTTATCATTGACCCCGCTGGTATAGTCCGACAGATGACCATCAACGACCTTCCCGTGGGTCGCTCCGTGGAGGAGACGGTGAGACTGATCCAGGCCTTCCAGTTTGTGGAGAAACATGGAGAAGGTGGGTGTCCTTTCATCATCTCAGCTGCCGGGCAGAGTAGGTACCCAGTGCCCCATGCTTGTCTCCCTGTGGGGATTCCAGGCAGAATAGGTCCCCAGTACCCCATGCTTGTCTCCCTGTGGGGATTCCAGGGCAGAATAGGTCCCCAGTACCCCATGCTTGTCTCTCTGTTGGGATTCCAGGACAGAATAGGTTCCAAGTCCCCCGTGCTTGTCTCCCCGTGGGAATTACCTGGCAGAATAGGTTCCCAGTGCCCAATGAATCTCAGTGTCCCCATGTTTGTGACCCCATGCAGAGTGTGATGATGACCAGGTTCATAGGGTCCCATGATTATCAAACTTTCGTTCCAAATTCTCCTGAATGTCGTCTTCCTGAAATAAGTTGGCCAAGAGGGTAATGACATCAGCTGCGACACTGCCTGTGTTCAATTCCCAACGTGGATACATTTTGTTGAAACAGTTCTTGATGCAGTGATAATGCAACAGTCTTGCTACACAAAAAGCATGCGTTTCTATTTTATTAAACAATTGTTGTTTATTATCCCCCGCCGCGCGAAAGCGCGAAGCGGGGGATATAGTATTCACGACCGTCCGTACGTCCGTCCGTCCGTCCGTCCGTACGTCCCACCTGTTTGTTGCCGCGATATCTCAAGAACTAAACACTGGATTGTCTTCATATTTGGAACTATGGTGTATATACAGACTCCGCAGACACCAGTCGGTTTTGGTGACCTTGACCCCATTTTCAAGGTCACAGGCATATCTGCTTTTGGAGTTGGAAAACGGTGTTGCCGCGATATCTCAAGAACTAAACACTGGATTGTCTTCATATTTGGAACTATGGTGTATATACAGACTCCGCAGACACCAGTCGGTTTTGGTGACCTTGACCCCATTTTCAAGGTCACAGCAGGCATATCTGCTTTTGGAGTTGGAAAACGGTGTTGCCGCGATATCTCAAGAACTAAACACTGTATTGTCTTCATATTTGGAACTATGGTGTATATACAGACTCCGCAGACACCAGTCGGTTTTGGTGACCTTGATCCCATTTTCAAGGTCACAGCAGACAAATCTGCTTTTAGAGTTGGAAAACGGTGTTGCCGCGATATCTCAAGAACTAAACACTGGATTGTCTTCATATTTGGAACTATGGTGTATATACAGACTCCGCAGACACCAGTCGGTTTTGGTGACCTTGATCCCATTTTAAAGGTCACAGCAGGCAAATCTGCTTTTGGAGTTGGAAAACGGTGTTGCCGCGATATCTCAAGAAGTAAACACTGGATTGTCTTCATATTTGGAACTATGGTGTATATACAGACACCGCAGACACCAGTCGGTTTTGGTGACCTTGACCCCATTGTCATGGTCACAGCAGGCAAATCTGCTTTTGGAGTTAGAAAACGGTGTTGCCGCGATATCTCAAGAACTAATCGCTGGATTGTCTTCATATTTGGAACTATAGTGTATATACAGACACCGCATACACCTGTCAGATATGGTGACCTTGACCCCATTTTCAAGGTCACAGCAGGCAAATCTGTTTTTGGAGTTGGAAAACGGTGTTGCCACAATATCTCAAGAACTAATCGCTGGATTGTCTTCATATTTGGTAGTATGGTGTACAGGCGGGGGATATTTCGTCACTCTGTGACAAATACTTGTTATTCTTGTTTTTCTTTCTCAGTGTGTCCAGCGAACTGGCAGCCTGATTCTCCGACCATCAAGCCCTCTCCAGAAGATTCCAAGGAGTACTTTGAAAAAGTTAACTAAACCAAGCAATTCGTCTCTCAGCCAAAGAGTATAAGACATATTTACTCCAGTTACATCCCATTCTGACCTATCTCCGAATTGAGTTAAGATGTAGACATATGGCTTTTCTACAGTATTATGCCTTTCGAGACTTGTGTCAGAATTGTATTGTTTCATATGGCATTTATCAACTGTTTATTTTATGATCACGTGTGTGTTTATTTTTGTGATCTGGGATGTGTGGTGTTTTTGCCATGTTTCTAGCTGATTTAACCAAGTGTCACAACACTGATGCTGCATTCATGTGTTATGTTAACCCAGATATTGGTAAAGGATACCAAGATATTCAGGTTCTGATATGACTTCTTTAAGAGGCATTTAGGAGTTGGAGTACTTTAGTTAAGATAAGATATATGGATGAACAACTTCTTTATTACAATTACTGTATTCGACGTAATAAGCGCCCATGGCGATATTTGCTACTATGTTGGCAAGTGAACAATCCCAATTAGCACCCCTTCCGATTGATAAATGTACACAAGACTTATTTATTCGTGCATAATACGCACTTATATGCACCCTTAATTATGGGCAGTGAAATTCTGGAAAAATAAATCTGTCGTATATAAACAGTTCAAACCGTCAGCATAAACCACAAAATTTATCTTTCAACTCTGTTTTTTCCACCAAAATAATATTCTAATAAGAGCCCCCTATTTCTAATTTTGAGAGTGCCCGTGCTTATTACGTCGAATACGGTATGTATAATATGTAACGTGTAGATCAGAATTAGCCTCACTCAGAGTCAGAGGTCGTGGAAATCTCACTGCACTTTATGTTCCATTAGTCCTTTGTGTTTCTCTCAGTGTCCTCCACGGGCCCCTTGCTGAACATTCTGTGAACAGTGACTCTCACTTATGGCCATCCCTTGTTTTTCAGTTTACAGTTTAGACCAACCAGTGCCAAAAGCCAAATTATAAAACAAACCAAACAGAGAACAAATATTTTTTTGTTTGCTTGACCACTCTTTCATTGATGGATTAGAAAAAGAAAAAGACACAAAAATTGAGAACATAATTGTTAATGTTTTGAAAGGTGATAAAACAAATGGACTCTCCACCATGTCGAGATGGCTGCTGGTCAGAGCAATCATCTATACTGAGCAAAAGAAGTTAGGGATCAGGAATATGTCTGGGATACTTTTGTGTAATTGTTGTATGCTCAGTCGTACAGAGTACAAAGCATTCTCTGACAAAATAGATACTGTAAATATGAATGAGACTACAGTAAATCGTCTAGCAAATGAATACCAGTTATTTCCCTCTTGAACCAACTAACGAAAACCTCTTGATGCCCCCCCAAATTTAAGACATTTTTAGCTACATGAGCCTATTCTTAATATAATGTTTCAACCTAGCCCAGGAAATTGTTGACACAGTATTTGTAGCTTGTTCTTATCGCCCACCCCTTGTAGTGTTCAATGGGTACAATACTAAAGTATTTATGTAATCTTGCCTATTAATGCTCAGGAGTGAAATAATGTAGCTGATAAGTTAAACAAGATAAAACGAGTTAAAACACAACTACAATTGAAAGGCTGTGTGTTGCAATACCTTTAAGGCATTACAGATTAACTAGTCATATTGAAAAAAACAGGTGTTCTTTAAGTTCTTTTGAGTACTGTATATCGCTGTGTATAAGGCGGGTAATTTTTACCTAGAATTAGGGGGCTAGTCGTCTTATACACAGGGTTGAAGAGTTTTGATGTTTTTTTCCCCAACACAGACATAACTGTGAGCAGCACCGGAAATACCATGTCAACAAATGGTTACAGAAGTAAGCAAACTAATGATGTAAATTAGCATCGATTTTGAAGGCTTGTACAGAGGGGTCGCCGTCACTTTAAAGATGGCGATATACAGTGATATTTATGTAGTATTACGTATTAAACTCAGGATTGAAGTTCATACAGCTCATTGTCTAGTCAGACATTATATGTCAAAGATTCTATTTATAATCAAAATGCTTTCATATAGTTTATTGTATTGTATTGTATTGTATTGTACTCAGGAGTGAAGTTTATTGTATTGATACTGAGACGTTTTGCAGATGATGTCTAGTCAAACCGGAAACATCAGAGCTGTGTTTTAAAATCCAAACATGTTGATATCCATGCCAGTTGTGTTGGAGGTTTGGAGTTGTATGTGTGCTAGTCTTCTAGTCAGATATTGCATGTCAACCATGTTGGCAGGTATTATTTGCATTTATTCAGTTTTTTGGACAAATATTTCCATATCAGATACTGTTATTTGTGTTTACAATTCAGGGTTTTCAACAAATATTTCCATATCAGATACTGTTATTTGTGTTTACTATTTAGGATTTTCAACAAGTTTTTCCATATCAGATATTGTTGTTTGCGTTTACTATTTAGGATTTTCAACAAGTATTTCCATATCAGATATTGTTATTTGTGTTTACTATTCAGGATTTTCAACAAGTATTTCCATATCAGATATTGTTATTTGTGTTTACTATTCAGGATTTTCAACAAGTATTTCCATATCAGATATTGTTATTTGTGTTTACTATTCAGGATTTTCAACAAGTATTTCCATATCAGATACCGCATTCGACGTAATAAGCAATATTTGCTAATATATTGGCTAGTGAACAATCCCAATTAGCACCCCTTCCGATTGATCAATGATCAAGACTTATTTATTCGTGTATAATACGCACTCGTGTGTTATATTCACCCTTAATTATGGGCAATTAAATTCTGGAAACTATATCTGTCGTGTATGATACGCACATACTTTTCTTTTGTATCATTTCAGGCTGTCAGCATAAACTACGAAATTTACAATCTTTCAACTCTGTTTTCTTTTCTCACCAAAATTATATTCAAATAAGAGCCCCTTATTTCTAATTTTGAGAGCGCCCCGAGCGCATATTACGTAGAATACGGTATTGTTGTTGTGTTTACTATTCAGGGTTTTCAACAAACATTTCCATGCCAGGTATGTGTTATTTGTGTTCACTATTAAGGGTTGTGAATAATCAGCCTGGGCAAGACAAACCAGTGGTTGATGTAATGAACAACACCCGACTTGACAGGGTACAATGACACGTGATCAACCAGATCACTGGGCCTACCACCCAATCTAATTCAGTCGCCCCTTACCACAAGCACAAGTGTCCTGGGGGTGCTATTTTAAACCGGATCCCCATTTGGAGCCAGAATTAGTTTAATGCAAATTCTAGAACACGTTTTGCAAGTATTGTCAAACTGAGTTTTTTTACATTGTTTCATTCAGCTTGTAGTTGTGATGGTTTGATCCATGTCTGTATTTATCAGAGCCGAACTGGTTCACAGAGGTGCTGCAGTAACTACTGGTCTGTGTTCTATGAGGGGGCACGGGTGGCCCAGTCGTCTAAGGCGCCGCGATTCGCTGTGCAGAGTTGCGTCCCTTGGGCACGCCAGAAACCTATGATTGTGGGTTCGAATCCTGGTTCGCCCCGATTATGTTTCTAGGTTTGTCAGCACCATACCCGTGCTCGTGGGTTTCACCGAAGTGGTAAACGTCTGAGACCTGCATCACTTTGGGCTTTCCTCCCACATTAAGCTGACACGCCGCGATATAACTGGAATACTGTTAAAAGCAGCGTTAAACCCAACTCACTCACTCACTCACTGTGTTCTATGAAAAGTAATGCTGTGAAGACCCTGCTGATTAAGGTCAGACCTCCTGATTAAGGACCCATGGTTATACAGCTATCTCACATTGTACACCTTTGTCCTCAACGTACGTGTGTAGGCATTGTGTTGGTATTGATGTCATCATATGGCTTTGGAAAAGAAATCTTTTTATCCCTTATATTACAAAATGAATCCATTTCCGGGGTTGCCATTTTACTCCACAGTTGTGCCTCTAGTCACCTCAGTTGTCCACAGCAATGAAAGTAGCTATGCAGAGTTGTGTCCCTTGGGTGTGTCAGAAACCTAAAATCGTGGGTTCAAATCCCAGTTTGTCCTGAATGTTTCTGGGTTTGTCAGTACCATACTCGTACTGCATCTCATTAGGCTTGCCTCCCAAACACTTACACTGCAAGTGCAATACTGCTCGAAGTAATGTAAAGCTGAACTCACTCACTCACTCACTCACTCACTCACTCACTCACTCACTCACTCACTCACTCACATGTATTCCAAATTTGCCTACCATGAACATATCGTGTCATGGCTTTGGTGGATCATTTCAGCCTATCTCTTTATTATTAGATTATTATCTCAACTTTATAGAGAAACCTTGGGCCACACATCTTTTATTTTCCGCCCTTATCGGCCCTTATCAAAAAACAACTGGAAAAGAAATAAATTAAACATAAAAATATTGTTAATCTTTAAACATTTTGTTATACCTCTTTTTCATGACTTCATTTTTTGTAGAGGTGTGTAACAACGCGGTGGGGTAACGATACAATATGTATCCCCATGCTATGGGTGTGATATGATATGTATCCCCATGCTATGGGTTTGATACGATTCGAATTCCAATACAGTACTTTTATTCCATAAGTTCATATTCTTTCTGTTTGCACATGAATAACAATCCTGAATTTAAAAAATTAAATCTCAGAGAGGGAAGATGGGATATTGTAAGGCAGAAACGTATTGGTAGAGGGCACTGTGAATGTTATGCTATTTATGTCAAACCATGAAATACTAGAGAATCTGCATAGGCTGGTTATTGTCCAGTTTCATTTATTTGACTTCAGTTATTATTCACATGTATTTAACCAATATAACTTGTAATCTAATCTATTGTATTTACCACAATATAAATTGATATTTTGTATGGTTGGACTCGTATTGGAAACAACACCTTTATCGCCGTTTCATCGCCACATATCCTTTGTTGTATGAGCTGACAACAGAATAATGACTACCCTTCTATCTTTGATTACAGTCAAATTCATGTATACAGAAACTCAGAAGTATTTCTTTTTTTTTCGACAGTGGTGATAACAGATACTGATAGTCATCAGACAGACTTGATTAAGTGTTATTGTTTTACAAAGTGACTGTCTCATCACCCTCTCTCGTAATCAGATTTACCTCAAGTTGTTCATGAGACGACTGCCAGTGACAGTAGATTTAAACGTCCTTTGAATGTGAAGATGTGTGTGGTTTGAAGGGGTGATTTGTGATCAGTGGTAATATTAAGGCGAATGAGACACAATAGTTGCCTTTTACGTAATTAGTAATGTATGTATGGAAATAAACATTTTTAAGATGTTTTCTTTTGTTTTCATGTTCAACACTTTCAAGCTGGCCTTTTGAGCAAAAAAAAAATATATGCATTTTTAGCTCACCTGACTGAAAGTCAAATTGGCTTGTCTTTTCTTCATTTTCTGGTGTTCAGTGTCTGTAAATAAGTTTTCCCCAGAAACCGCTCAACCCAAGCATGCTTGTTCCCACTATGTTGGCAATGATTGCAAGCGAGGTTAAGATTTGAAACTAATTTTCAACACGACCATTGCCATTGAGATACTCCTCGTAAGTCTTTGCTGTGTTGTGAGAACACTTTAATGTTGTGTTCCCAGAGAGCCACAGTCAAGCACTTGGAGGTAAGGCCACTCTTAATAGCTAAACAACTTGATGTCACTTTTCTGATTTAACTAGCTAACTTGTGGTCATCACCAGGCAACCAGGATCTAGGTGATGGTCGAGACCCAATTTGCTTTTGCTACAGTTAGACCTGCCCGTCGACACTGACTTGTATGTTTCTTTCACCCATGCTAGAGTGAGTGAGTTTTGGTTTTACACCGCTTTTAGCCATAGTCCAGCAATATCATGGCAGGGGACACCAGAAATGGGCTTCACACATTGTACCCATGTCAGGAATCAAACCTGGGTCCTCGGTTAGACAAGTAAAGGCTTTAACCACTAGGCTACCCAAACGCCCCTTCAGCATGCTAGAACTTACCCTGGGTAATGATTACCACCCATCAGGGTCACATATTATCCACAGCAGGTAACATTAGGTGAACCCTTGGCAGACTTTGACACACCCTCCATAGCAGGTAACATGATATGCCAGTTTGATTGAGAGATCAAGGTATAGATCTGATTATAATTAATGAGATTGTAAACATCTACGACCTTTATCACTTTCATGCTTGATGACATACCATGTGACTACCTTATCATTATTCTTGTCACTTCCTGGGGCACGGGTGGCCCAGTCGTCTGAGGCACCATAATTTGCTGTGCATAGTTGCATCCTTTGGGCATGCCAGAAACTTTTGAATGAGTGAGTGGGGATTAATGGTTTGAACAGTATTTCAGTTATATCATGGCATGTCAGCTAGATGTGGGAGTATTTCAGTTATATCAAGGCTTGTCAGCTAGATGAGGGAGTATTTCAGTTATATCACGGCCTGTCAGCTAGATGAGGGAGTATTTCAGTGATATCACGGTGTGTCAGCTAGATGAGGGAGTATTTCAGTGATATCACGGTGTGTCAGCTAGATGAGGGAGTATTTCAGTGATATCACGGTGTGTCAACTAGATGAGGGAGTAAATCTCACCAAATCACAATTCACGGCATTATATAAATATTTACTGTGTGTTTAGAAATCTAAATATTGGATATTTACTCGAATAATTAAAGTAGAAAAATAGCATATAAGGGATCACAGGTATCAAATCACTAATGATAATTCTGAAACGTTGCTGATAGACTAGAATCGTTTAGAATGTTTTGGAAAATACGCATACACGAACGCCGAAGTGTACGTTCCGCCATATTGGATTGTGTTTACAAAATACCGGTTATGAGACGCCTATTCGATCAGGTATATTTCAAACTCAGCTGCTATACATGCATCCCTGAACTCCTCATACATTTTCGAAACAATGGATAAATGGTCTTTGTCACCAATGCAAATTATCTAGATGAAATCATGCGAAATAAATTAGGTATGGAGGAAATGAAAACTGTGCTCGGAAAACTGTACTTGCTGAAATATGTAAACACAGCAAAATTCAGATTTTACACTGTGTAGCATTTTTAGAGGTACTTTCGTCTAATTGTTGCATACATTGGCTCGAACACGCGTTTGAGAATATTCATGGGAAGAGTATCGTTGCACTAATTATGGAAATACACATATATACATAACAATGATGTGGTAAATTCAACAGAAGCGGTTTACAAAAGTTTCCGTCCTGTGTGGTGCCATGACTGACGCTAAAGCACAACGATGACGGTAGGTATCTGCATTTCTGACTAGTTCTCTTTGTTACATTGGAAAACATGGTAAACAAATAACAGTACGCAGATTGTCAGAATGCTTCTGATTACTTACGTGACCCATTTATGTGTATACGACCCCTCAATCAATGAAATCCACCTCTGGAAATCCCGCGTACTGTTGTCAGTGAACACACCATTTTGTAAAAGTCAGTCACCGGTAGTGATGTCATACGGTAGTAAACGTTGTAATTTCTTTGAAAGTGTAAACTTTCAACTTGGCACCCAGCGTGTTCTTTGTTTTTGTCTAGTTTGCATTTTCATCATCGCCTTGATAATCCAGATATGACGGAAACCTTTTAGCGTAGGGTCACATTATTTATGCGTAGTAAGCAGCACATAGGATGACGTCACTTATGACAGTGTTGTCATGTATTAATGTGCTACTGCAATCATGAGAATAGACAAAATTCATCGGTTCGATGCTGAAAAGGTGCGATTTTGGGGGGTGTAAGAAACAGATTACTGCACTCGTGCCTGTCAGATACCATTGATCTTACAACTCGTTACAAAGCGTATCTAACTCACTTTCGCTTGTTAGATACGTTTTGAAACAACTCGTAAGATCAATGGTATCTGACAGGCACTCGTGTAGTAATCTCTATATATCACGGCATGTCAGCATGATGGAGTATTTCAGTTATGTCAGGGCGTGTCAGCATGATGGAGTATTTCAGTTATATCAGGGCGTGTCAGCATGATGGAGTATTTCAGTTATATCAGGGCGTGTCAGCATGATGGAGTATTTCAGTTATATCAGGGTGTGTCAGCTTTATGAGGGAGTATTTAAGTTATATTATGGTGTGTAAGCTTAATGTGGCAGGAAAGCCCAAGTGAGTGAGTGAGTATTGTTACACGCAGCTTTTAGCAATATTCCAGCAATATCACAGCAGGGGAACACCAGAAATGGGCTTCACACATTGTACCCATGTCAGGAATCGCACCCAGGTCTTCTTCATCATGTAGGAAGGCCCGAAGTCATGCAGATAGACACTTTGCTGAAAACCATTTTTACCAACATGAATGGTATGGTACTGCCAAACCAAGCATGACAATGACGCACCTTTGATTCAAACCCACAACCAACAGCAAGCAGATGCACCATAGACTACTGGACCACATGTGCCTGCTCAATATAAAAAGAAGATGAGACAAAGAAAACAGTTGATATCTCACTTTATTGATCTCTGCTCATTTTACAAAAATATTTTTTTTACAATTTTGGGGCAACTGGACGTGGTGAACCTACTCACCAATTAGTGAGAATGACTATAGGTTAAATTAATGTATTTCTTCTTAATAAATAAATAAATAATATTTAAACAGAAAAACAAATGTTCAGCTATACAAAAATAAGTTTCTTTTACAAAAATGAACAAATTACACCATTGGTTAAGATTGTATTTCAATAAAATAAATAAAAGATACACCGAAGAAGCTGGTGTTTTTCATGTGTAGTTCAATGCACACCCTTTAAGATATTTAAATTAATTCATAATTGAAATCAAGTTGTACAGAAAGGTGTACACATAAACATGCATTTAAACTAATACTGAAAACAACAAAACACAGTCATCTTTATTCCCATTGTACTTGCAGTTCTATGATTCTGTTTGATCCCATACTTCCCATCATGCAGTTCACAACACTACTACAGTCCTCGCCACTTGAAATAGAACAACGAAATATCAAGATGATTACTTAACAAATGTGTGCTAAAACAAGCAATTCACCGATAAGATATGTCATGACAAAAAATGCAAAGTTTACTTTTCAAGAAATGTCCATTTTGCTAGCGCTAAACATCATTGTGTTTGGATAACGTGGTAAGAATGGGTAGTTTGTGAGTCCATTTCAAGTGGCGAGGCCTATACACCTTTCTGCCCCCTCTTATCCAGCCATCTATCTCATTGACCCAATATGTGCATCTCACAGGTCTGACGATGTGGCAGACAAGGGAGATTTTATGGCGCTTCATGTGGTTTGGTGATAACATGCAAATCTAGTATAAGGCCAAGAAAAAAACATATATTGTGACAGAAAATATTTGCCAGACAGACTTGGCCAAGACAAAACATGTATGTATCTTTACTTGGTGTATATATGAATACTGAAAATCAGCTGTTTTCATGAAAACATTCAATTAACTAAATACATAATAACACAATGTCCGTGATACACGAACCTCCTGTTTGTGTGAAACTAGTAAAACAATGCAATGTGAAACCTGTTGGTGTCACAAGGCACCACTTGACACATGGTCAAGTAGGAGGGAGACTTTCATGGAGATACCTGATTCAGTATAGTTTTCTACTTCAAAAAGTCTAGTCCTGCTTTAAAAGTATTATTAAAAAATTCCAAAACGTTTCATAGTGATATTCCAGTTTGTAAGAGATGATATGGAAATGAAACAGACGGACGCAGCAAGAGGCTGATCCACTTGTCTTCCATTGAGGCAGGATTGTTACTACTACCAAAGTGAGTGAGTGAGTGAGTTGGGTTTAACGCCGCTTTTAACAGTATTCCAGTTATCTCACGGCGTGTCAGGTTAATGTGGGAGGAAAGCCCGAAGTGATGCAGGTCTCAGACGTTAACCTCTTTGGTGAAACCCACGAGCACGGGTATGGTGCTGACAAACCTAGAAACATAATCGGGGCGAACCGGGAATCGAACCCGCAATCATAGGTTTCTGGCGTGCCCAAGGGAACTACCAAAATGAAGTGACATTAATAATACAACAGAGAACCTTTATAAGAATGCTTTCACAGTGTAATACTTCACCTCGTCAAGTCTACACCACAATCCACCATGAACGCATGTAATCAATTATTCACCAAAAAAAATAAAACAAGCTATCTTCCAGTCATTGCCCACTTCAGGAAAACACATATTAATTCTGCCTTGTGTCAAAGAGAATTCGGTGGACAAAGTTTGTAATCCCTTTTTTTACGTATAAACATAAAAAGAGCACTACCCAAAAACACCAATATGCCAAGCTCTTAATTCAATATACACATACATATACACAATATGTATAATATCAGAGAATAAATCTCTAATATATATTTATTTGTTCTGCTTTTAACCATATCAATGTCAAGCCAAGTTACACAGTTTGTCCACAAATGAATTATTTGTTTTATAATATTGTAGTATTACTTAAAACATGATACACTAATATTGTATGTCCATTTGAGCTCTTGGTATATACCAACAATAAATCTAATAAAATCTACAACAATAATTTCATATATTGCACAAAATTTGACAAATCATTTAATGCCAAAACAAATCTCACACAAAAACATCACACTTTGTCATGCCTAAAATTAAAATACCTATGATATCTGTTCCTAACCACAGTCATCAGGAAAATAGTCTATTGCCACATTTTCACAACAACCAGCTATGTGTATTCCTTGAAGTATTATACAGATAGTCGGGATGAGGCAATTTGGCTAAATCCCACATTTGGCCATATTCCATCACCATAATTGAAGGGGGTGCCAAGATTGGGCTTACAAAATACATGTTCTATACCTTTTCACAATCAAAGCACGGTCTATAATGTCAGGAAGAAATGACTTATGCTTTCCAAAGATCAATTTTAAGGTTATCATAAAAGTTTTCCTCATCAAATTTTCTGTTTTTTACTAAATATTATAATAGGTAATTATTTTCTTCATTATTTACCAGAATACATTTCATGGTCATTTCACACATTTACCTGTCATTAACATAACCTGTCCTCCAATGCTTCTCTCTAGTTTCTTCAGTGCAATTGATATGGGCAAATATACCACTGTTTCTCTCAAGTTTCTTCAGTGTGTTCGATATAGGCAAATATATCACTGCTTCTCTCTAATTTCTTTAGTGCGACCGATATGGGCAAATATACCACTGCTTCTCTCTAATTTCTTCAGTGCTATCGATGTGGGCAAATATACCACTGCTTCTCTCTAATTTCTTCATTGCGATCGAAATGGGCAAATATACCACGGCTTCTCTCTAATTTCTTTAGTGCGATCGATATGGGCAAATATACCACTGCTTCTCTCAAGTTTATTCAGTGCGATCGATATGGGCAAATATACCACTGCTTCTCTCTAATTTCTTCATTGCGATCGATATGGGCAAATATACCACTGCTTCTCTCTAGTTTCAAATATAACGAGACACTGTACAGGCATTGGCATCATTAAACACAGAAACGCCTCTTCATCATAAGTCTCAATAGGGAATGAGATACCATACAATTAAATCGTCAACAGGACTGCACATAGTGAATATTAAAAAAAGCCATCACACTCAAACAAACACAACACACACACTGTAGCATATAATTATAGAATTCTGATAACAACACAGTAACTATGAACAATAGAGAGATTCACTATACAGAACAAACAATAGTCCTGCTGTCTTCATAATGGCAGTTTTATGATTTTATGCTCAAATGAAATAATGAAATGCAATAATAATCTTAAACAGTAAAAAAGATTGGTGAAATTCTATATTCTGATTAATTCTCTGCATTTAGTTGGGAAAGCACAGTTGTGTCTTTGAATAAACAGCTTTTTAGAGTCTACCCCATTAACACTGTCAACATGTCATGTTTTGGTAGTGGGGAGGAAATAGGAATGGCCCAGCTTGATTGAACACCTTAATCCATTTAGCAAAAGGAAAATCAATAATTGAAAGTAAGCTCAATATTAACTACAAATTGTTCACAGTATTTCCTTTCAGACTGAATCATGGTGGGAGACACCACAAATAGGCTTCACACATATAACATCTGTAGAGAGTGTTTGTGAACTAAAATGCAGGAATTCTTTATGAACACAATATTCAAATAAATTTATTTTTGTCAAGCACAGTTAAACAAATTTGCAAATGAATGAGTGTTGGACCACACCATCACAAGACCACTTGGAGTAGCACTGGTATCATTTCTATACAAAGCAGTACTGTCGGAGGGAATGCATTCTCTATTAACATCTGAGGTATGCGAGTTGTCTCGAACAATTGATGTGAAATATTTTGGCAACAAAGTGCAATGTCAGTGTAAACGTCTTCTGACAGGGAACACCTGCACCAGTCATGACTAACAATAAAAATGCAGAATCAAGGAACACAATAAATAATCACTTAAAATGCAAGAAATTTGACAACTGACAATTTTTAGAATAATTAATCAGAAATATTACACACTATATCTCCTACTGATTAATTATTCAACATGGGACACCATACTATCCATGGGTATCAATTTCTAAGAGTACTGTGAATTTATTTTTTTACGTTTGTTTTTATCTAAACTCTCTTAACTTTGACAAGGAGAATATTGCAAACCCACAGAATCCTTGTTTAGTCATCGGTCAGAAATTCCTATGCCAATTTTTAATGGGCTATCAACAGATTTGTCTACTTCAACCAGGAAATGAAACCCCGTTGAAATAATTAGCAGGCTACATAATCAACATTAACAGCAAGCCCCCCCAAAACAGCTTCCAAAAAACAGCTTCAAAGAGCAGCTTCAGAGAAACACATTCAGAGAAACAGCTTCAGAGAACAGTTTCAGAGAAACAGCTTCAGAGAAACAGCTTCAAAGAACAGCTTCAGGGAAACAGCTTCCAAAAAACAGCTTCAGACAACAGCTTCAGAGAAATAGCTTCCAAAAAACAGCTTCAGAGAAACACATTCAGAGAAACAGCTTCAAAGAACAGCTTCAGAGAAACAGCTTCAGAGAACAGTTTCAGAGAAACACATTCAGAGAAACACATTCAGAGAAACAGCTTCAGAGAAACAGATTCTAAGCACACCCCACTCTACCGACGACATCCAAATAACATCCCAATGCTGCTTCTTCAGTAAAATACACAGGATGCTAGTTACGTCAACTATCATAATGTAAACACAACAAAAATAATATACATGCACAACAAAAGAGCTGCATTAACATTTTTAAAAGTTGGACGGAACATTAATAAAATGTGATCATGAAATAAAGAACGCTGATGGCTACAACAACAAGCAACTTTTGAAAAGTCATGACTAACTAAAATTTACCAAACTAAACACTCAAAGGTTGTGTTGGCACTTTCTTAACCTGACTTTGTGTTTTATTGTGAAATATATACATGTGCATGTTGATAATACCTCAAACTAAAATCTATCATGTTTAATTTCCTTCGATGATTAATTTTTGACCTAATAATGTTCAAAGCTATGAGAAAAAAAGTAAATTGCAAGTGATTCCATGTCATCTGATTGGCTAGCATAGCAATTAGTTATGCGTTTATACCTACATAAGCTGAAAATGCCCACAAGTTGTCTACATGGTCTACTGTTTCCTGATTGGCTGATAATAGAATGGGTGGAGCTTGTGTTGCATTATTGTGCTGAACCATGTCACTGATTTCGTATCCTTGTCTACATCTGTATGTTACTGATTAAATAAGCATTCTGTGAAGTTATTGTTGTTGACTTATTAATTTATAAGACATGGCTTCAATATATTTTTGCATTCATGGAGGCATAAACGTAAATCTGCGTTTATATCATGTCTGTTGCAATCTTGGTTTAACTTTTATATCTTCCTTTGTGTTGCCACAAACAATGTTTGATTCATTTAAAAATGAGTACATAAATGTTTATTGACAATGTCATTCTGTATTTCTTATACGTGTAACATGACAACTTGAAACATGCGTGACTATACTAAGTCTGTAACCAATTATGAAATTCCATATCCAATTCAATTATTTTGAATGTATCAAAAATATATCTAAATCACACATCACCATGATCACTGGTATTGCAACATCTTAGTTTCATTCATGGCTTTGTTCTCGTGTACACCTTAAATGTTCATGATCATGCTATAGGCCATATTCAGAAGGGGTATCCTAAAAAATGTCATTTTTGATTTGGAAATACCATTTTACACATCTTACCATGAATCATAAGATCTTGTCAACACAGTAGAGTGCATCAACTTCGATCTCTGTAATGACCCAAATATCATAACATCTTTTAAACCTACAACTAGCAAGACATAATATTGACACTCAGACAATCACACACGAAGCTTATCGACAAAGTAATCTGTGGCATACCCTGTTACCCAGAAATGTCAGTTTGACATTCAAAAACAAATATTCGTAGTTCCAACACATTGTACTTCAGGAACACTAGAATCTCGTCATTGTATTATGTATAACCTAATAAAATCACACGTCTATAGTGCAACATTGCAACATCAGGAGTAACAGTTTGTACAAAAAGAAAGCTTCACAGACTTCTGTGGCGTCAGGCGATTGTAGTGGCAATCTTGCAAATACATACAGGTATTTACTTACAATTAACTATGCAGGTGCTGATCAATACTGAATACAGGTTCACACTGTGGGAATTCCTAGTATACAGATACATTTGTTTGGCAGGAGTTAATCAGTGCTCTGCACTTACAAAGTACATTTCAAGGCTTGTGGACCACTTCCACATAAGCAGTCATGTTAATGGCACTAGCACGAGGCCAACACGTTACATTTGTTTCTGGTAATTAGACTTACCCACCATCTTATCACCAAGTAACTTGTTGTCGAGTTAACATGCACATTAGAAAAATAATAACATATTGTTTTTCGATTATCGCAACAAACAGGTTGGAGGGGAGCTTTTTACCGATACTGTAAGTGAATGGCCAGTGAAAATAGCAAATTTGTCCAGCTCCTGCTTTTTGAGGTATGTTTTGACACAGTGACCCATAACACAATGTCTCCAAATAGAATCACCTTTGCCCTGATCTCCCTGTCGTCATAATGGACTGCTCCAAACAGTTTTTTGTTTACCAGTGCATTCCAAAAACATTAACCAATAATTGCAACAAAATATATGCTTCAAATAAAACATTTCGAACAGCAACCATACCAAATATGAAAAATATACACAGAAATAAGCTTGTCCTATTCCTACATCATTGCAAGGGGATAATTCATGAAATTATTTACATATATAATTTATACAAGTCTAAGTATGAGTACCACTGCATCAGATCTCCGTAAAGAACTGCCCTGGCAGTTGACAGTGGGATGCACGGGTGTAGCAGTAGAATATAGCCCTGGGTGGGGAGGATGGCACAAAGTCAGGTAATCTGTACTTAACCACCTTCAGTCTTCCCTCCATGTTAAGTTTTACAGCTGCCTGAAACACAAAAACAGATCGTAAACACCAGAGAAAACATAGGTACAGAAGCTCACCTTTATCGAATAAATCAGAACTTAGGTCAGGTGTTCAACTTGATGCTTGTCATGAAATAACATTCCCATATTCAACCGCTATAGAGCATGTAGAGGACAAGAGCTTTTAGATCTGTGCTAATGAACAGATTGATAGACGGAAGATGGACAATACATGATATAAACTCATATTGACTCTGTCAATGTGAGCCCAAAAAAATTAACAGATTGATGGACGGAAGATGGAAGATGGACAATACATGACATAAACTCATATTGACTCTGTCAATGTGAGCCCCCAAAAAACCTAATCAATCCTTGAATGTTTGATCAAGTGGACCACCATTGAGTAGCCTCTAGAAATTGCCACTTGCCCCATGGCAAGTAATGAACGGACTAGAAATAACTAGGACATCAATACTCATGTTATATGAAGGCGGACTGTACATAGTGGAGTCGGGGGAAGTCAATGATCAATGCCATCAGGATATGATTACACACACTCCACATTATGATAAGGTCGGACAACCATATCCAATTTAGTCACCCAGACAGGAAACAACGTCAGGCACTTCTTCCGACCACTCGCCCCCATGGCTACAATCATGGACACATATATCCCCGGCCAAAAGAAACACACACCAAAGAAACATACAGAGAAGTATGTACGTTAAGAAAAGATGTTTCCAATGTGAACCACATATGTAGAAAATGTTTTGTTATAAACTGTAAATTTCTCATTCAACTCGTGAATCGAGACTGTTCATTTCACAAAGCACCACTTTTGTTACTTGACCAGCATGTATTCTTTCGCTTCCAACACCAGTCTTGTAGATTTCAAGAATATTTTTTGTTGAAGTTGATTTTTGCATATAATCATATCCAAATGCATGAAAAATAATTTTATTGTCATCAAACATTTTTTCTTACTTTTGTTTATACTTATGATTTTGCAAACACGGAACTACTTTTTAAGTCACATTACAAGAGGTGGTGAATCATCCCTGCATAACAAGCTTGGTTGTTTACGTGTTAAATACATTTACAAGAATATCGATTAATTTTTATCATACAATTCCCATGTTGATTAACCTGTCATAGCGACTGATTTACGACACCAATTGTCTGAAGAACATTTAACTGCAAAGGCTCATTACCCTGGAGCCATGACATCTATATGCCTTGAAACACTTAATTGCTGTGATTTATTAGATGCTAATCCTAACTGTTAATCCCCATTGTATTGTACATCAACCGTCTGCCATCCTGAACGAGATGTGCAAGTATGTCACTGATGAATTACTGTTTATATTTATATTTATTATTTACTTAATGTCATGTGACCTTGGCTATATAAGCCTTGGTCCAGAGAAAGAAAAAGGCTTATCCCCTAAACTAAACACTTCAAAATTCGCGGATGATGGAGCCCTATGGATCCGCACTAAAAGCATTAAAATGGCAGAAAACTTAATCCAAAAATCTCTAAATAAAATACAACAATGGGCAGACAAATGGGGCTTCTCCCTTAACTCAGATAAAACAACAGGAGTAGTATTCAAACATAAAAACATGAAACCTGCCTACCCAATCCTCCAGCTAAACAACCAAACAATCAAATTCCAAAAACAAACCAAATTCTTAGGACTTATTTTCGATCAACACCTCACCTGGGAGGCTCACGTCCAAAACCTAAAAACTAGATGCAGCAAAGACCTTAACACATTAAGATGTCTCACCGGCTCTAACTGGGGAGCCTCCAAAGATACCCTCCTCTCACTATATACAACACTAATTAGATCAAAACTAGACTACGGCTGCGCCATATACAATACCCTAAACCACTCTCTATCTAAAAAACTTGACTCAATCCAATACCAAGCCCTTAAACTTATTACACGCACCCAACATGGCACCTCCTACACCTCACTTCAGGCCCTTACAGGAGAAATGCCACTAAATCTACGCAGGGAACATCTAAGCCTTAATTTCTGGGCCGCGTCCCAAACAAACCCTCTCATCCAAAACCTAATTAACCAAAACATTAGCCCAAGAAACCAAGCTCTAGCTCGCAAACACCCCTTACTCACCCCAATATCCCAAAGAATAACTAACTACCTCAATGAACACCAAACTCAAAATCTTAAACAAAACTGCAAAAAATCAAATATCTTCACCCCTAAACTCAAAATACCCCAAATAGACACAACACTAACTAACCAAATAAATAAACAAACCGACCCAAACATAGCTAAAACAACCACACTTTCATACATACACGAAAATTGGCCAAATTGGTGTCACATATACACTGACGGATCTTCAGACCCGATCTCCAAACACACAGGTTTCGGAGTCCATACCACACAACCAGTTATATCCACACAATCTTACCGACTCCCAAACAACCAATCTATATTCACGGCCGAACTTATGGGCATGGCCTCAGCCCTGCATAACCAACAATCAAAAAACCACAAAAAAATCCTAATTCTCACTGACTCGCTTAGTGGACTACAAGCCCTCCAAAACAAAAATACCAAAAAACGACCTAAATTAATAAACCAAATACTTAAAAGCTCCAACGACCTAACAAAAGCAGGCAAACAAATAACCTTCTTGTGGATCCCCGCCCACGTAGGAATTTACGGCAACGAAAGCGCCGATAAAGCAGCTAAATTATCTCTCAAAATACCAGAAATAAGCCTAAACCTACCCATCTCAAAATCAGAAATTAAAAGTGTAAACAAACAAAAAATAACCAAAAAATGGCATAATCAATATCAAAACTCAAATAGCCAAATCAAAAAAGTGCTCAGAAAACCACTAGCCAAACCTAAAATCCTTCACCCCTCTAAAAAAATTGACAGATTAATTACAAAACTCCAAACAGGACACACGAACCTAAATAACCACCTAAAACAACTTAAAAGACACACCACAGGCAACTGCCCCCACTGCAAACAACCCGAAACCACAGAACACGCACTCATCCACTGCACCCACTACCAAACACACAGAACCACACTACAAACCAACCTCAATCTAAATAAGGTTCCTACTCTAGATGAAATACTAAACCCTCAAAATAAACTAGAAAACTTCAAGGCCCTAGGCGTATTCCTAATCAAAACAGGCCTAATTAAGCGCATCTAAAAACTAATTAATCTACCAACCCAAAATCCAATAAACATACAAATACCCACCTCACCCAGCTCCCTTAGTTCCCTCCTCCATCCACCTCGGCATTTATTCCAAATTTTAAAATTTCAAAAATCGATATAAGCAACCCCTAAAAGCCCCCTCTTGTGTTGCACACATCACTTTCACCCTTCTCGGAATACACTAAATGGTCTGGCCAGGCCCGTGTGCGAAATACGCTGCAGTCGGAAAGCGCACGTTAAATCTTCTATATCAGTCAGAAAGAAAAAAAGAAAGGTCTTACCCTTAGCCTAGCTAGGGTTAGGCTGGGTGCTCCGGGGCACCTAGAAAACAACCACTACCACTATGTGCTGAGGTGGCACATAGTGTCTTTTGTATGTAAATATCTACATGTATAAAGTAAAACTGTATATACCGCAAGCCATCGTCTCCAAGTTGTCACTCAATCCTACTGAGAACCATCGTCGGCCCTTTGCATATAAGAGTATGCCAATTATTCATTAATCAACGTGGGACCACACGCGTTGTAGGAAATGACAACTTGGAGACGATGGCTTGCGGTATATACAGTTTTACTTTATACATGTAGATATTTACATACAAAAGACACTATGTGCCACCTCAGCACATAGTGGTAGTGGTTGTTTTCTAGGTGCCCCGGAGCACCCAGCCTAACCCTAGCTAGGCGAAGGGTAAGACCTTTCTTTTTTTCTTTCTCTGGACCAAGGCTTATATAGCCAAGGTCACCTTACATTTAGTAAGTAATAAATATAAATATAAACAGTAATTCATCAGTGACATACTTGCACATCTCGTTCAGGATGGCAGATGGTTGATGTACAATACAATGGGGATTAACAATTAGGATTAGCATCTTATAAATAACAGCAATCAATTGTTTCAAGGCATATAGATGTCATGGATCCAGGGTAATGAGCCTTTGTAATTAAATGTTCTTCAGACAATTGGTGTCGTAAATCAGTCGCTATGACAACTCTATTGAAAATGAAATTTTAGTTCAGTGGATCAGTATTTATTAATGTATTGTATTTTTGTAGTATGCAGTTAGTAATATCAGGTCGCCAACTTGATTTTTCCAAGTTGTCAAATGGCCACAGCATAAATAATATTGGTCGCCAAGTGGAAATTTCAATTGGCAACCAAATTAGTTGCAAATTAGAGGCCTCAAGATCCCCTTATTTTCTAAAACTGAAACTGCTTACCCTTTTTTCTGAACCTGATTTGATCCAAACTTCATGTAACAATTGCCTGTACAGCTCGATACAAGAAATGACAATGCCACATATTCTTAATCATCATTAAACATTCAGGTAGATTGTTACACCACTTCGGTCCCGAGATCTACGCTTTGATTAACATATCTTGCATGTATGCCGGTGATTAATCTTGCATAATCTCAGCTACTGCTGGTCCATTGTGTGACTGGAGTTCAGCTGACAATTAGATACGTATACACGAGAAGTGGCATTAATAATGATTTAATACAAAATCAATAATGAATGGCCTGCATATGATCCGCATTCCAAATGTAGGTTAAATTAACCAAACAATGACTTTGGCTACAGAGCCGTATTTTCGCAACAGAAGTGTCAGTTGAAAGCATTTGCTCCTTGAAATATTCATGACATTTGTACAATCCAAATCTTGCATAATCATATGCAATAGGCCTCAAAAAACATTCTGATCACGCAGAGTTCTAACTCGGTGTCAATAGGTTTGGAATTGTTTTGTTTTTTAAATATGAATTCCATACATAATACAGACCCGATAATAATTACCAACCCA